AACTGAAAGCTAAACATAATACAAAGGCTATTTAAACAAAGGAAAGACTAAAAAAATGACCAAGGGATTCTTATCAAACTCCCAATTTTGTTTCAAACAATGATTTGCTTTTAAACCCAGGAACATACAAGTACGTGTATTCAAAAGGTTTTGACCTCTGACTGTTGACCTTGCAAGGGGTCACTGCAATCTTTTCAAACTCATTTTCACACTCAAAAATGCCGTTATGCAAATTTTTATTGATTGATCTCGAGTTGGGGAGGTGAGTGTTCACAGGCAACTTGAAACAGGAAAAAAAACATTCTTAGCATTCATTGGTCATAAAAACATGCCCAAACTTGCCCACACAAAAACATTAAAGAAAATATGTGTAACTACTTTTTAGAAAAAAAATTCCATATTGGCTACTCAAGAAATTGTTCAATGACAAACCATTTTGGCTACACCCATCTTTCTATTGGCTAAGACCTAATTTCTGGTCTCTTGGGAAAAACAATAACGCTAAGTACAAAACTGTTACAAATCTAATTATAACGGCTCTACACATGAAACACTTCCGATCAGAAGCAATCACAAGCATAATCCCCCTATAATGCAGTTAGCTATGCATGATAATTGTTTCGGAAAAATGTATTTGGACCAAAGGAGTTTCCAACATTATCCAAATCAGTGGGTAAACACAAAGACGCAAACAGAAACAATGGACTTAAATGACTACAACAATTGATAATTGTCAGACTTTGATTAATTGTAAACTCAAAGTTTGTGGGTAAGAACAGTCCAATACTGTCAGTTCCTATACTGAAATATGACACTAGTATAACATAAGAGTCACAATGACAGATAATGAGATATTAACATTATAGATATAACAAAGGGGATTCTATGCATGCTTTTTCCATATTTGTAACAGTTACAGATTCGTGTCACGTTACACATAATAAGAGAAATACAAGAAAAGAAAAATTTGTTGCAATTTTTTTATTTATGGTGCACTTCCAGATCAAATTAAAGTAACCACAAGTGTTAGACAATGTTTCCAATCCCATAAGTCACCTGGTGACCCGGGGTACCATTGTTCAACCCTCGCCTCCGGGCCGGCAAATTTTTCCAGCCTAACGTCATTCCAACGCCAACAGCCAATCAGAGACGGGGTAGGAATTGTTGTCGGCGCGCGGTACAAACACCAACATTACCTCCGAGGAGAGGATAGACTAAAAGTAACCTATTGCCTGAGGGGGGGGGTGAAAAATATGCATTCATTTCTCATTATCTGCAGGCAATGGGCTGGAAGACAGCAACAAACACAGACAACACGGCATTCAGGGGATCAATGCATTGCTAGAATGTTCCAAACTTTGCCATAGCTTTGGACAATGACTCTCACATTCTCCTCGTGCCTGTAATACCTTCCCATTAAGATCTTCAGTGTTACCTGAAAACATACGTGCAGATATGTGATGTACATGTATCTGTTATTCCAAGGAGGTTTTTTAACCTCCTTGGTTATTCCTACTGGTCAATAATCTTTCCTTCAGTGACAGGTTTTTAATTGTTCTGATCTGCAACCATTGTCCACGATATACATTTTAACCAGTCCATACTGACTCTATCAAACATTACTTGTACGTACATGCTATAAATTGTATAATCATAACTTATTGCATTGGTTTTACCCGGTTTTACCATATAGGTTGACTGTTGAGGATAAATTTTTTCTACAAGAACGCTCCAGAGTTTTCAGCCTTATTAAGTGCATCAACAAAGATTCCATAAAAATTGTGCACTCAGAACTCAGAATATTTCTGCTGATTTTTGGTAACCTGAGTCAAGAAATTTGCTTGAAAACTTTTGAACGCTTCGGCGGATTCAAAGTAACAAATGGCGACATTCATTTGAAACCCACATTGTTTCTTTTATACCTGGGACCTTCAATTGTTGCCCACCACAGACTTTCATGCTGTTTGGCATTGAGGTTTGCCTTCAAATTGAGCAAGCAGAATCAGCGGCAACCAACGAGACACTTATTCTATAACGTTGACAAGGCAAGACATGTGTAAACATTGTGAGTACTTCCAGGCAGAGGACTAAAATCTTTTTTATAGCCACTTTTAAAAGCTCAGACTGTACCAACCAAAATATAAATATAGAATACAACACGGGGTATTCCGTATCGCCCGAGGTATCGATCCGACTCGCGGGACCGAGGGCGATGCGGAATACACCATGTTGTATTTTATTTATGTCATACCCACCCAAGAAAATACGGCTTTCAATGCAAGATGAGCCAAAAGTTGATGCCACTTGTCCCTAAAATGTAACAACATCAATTCCAACGTCCGGATTCTGTATTCGAATTTTCGAAAGGGGCACTCGCGGTTAGGGCGAATCGCGTTCGAATCGTTTTATGGAAGCCATGGAAGCGTTCGATAACGGGTTCCGGACCGGGCCGTACCGTAAAGTACAGCCCGGTCCGGAACCCGTTATCGAACGTTATCGCGGCCCGGGTATGATATAAGGGGCAATATATTGATTTTATTTGCAAGTTCATGTCTGTATGCTAAGTGAGATTAAACAAATAACCGTGCATAGTTTGCAATAAGAATAATAAGACTAATATTCATTATTGTTGATGGGCTTGACTTCATCTGTGAATGCAGTTGTTCCTATTAATACAATTTGCAAAGGGGACTGAAAAAAAATGGACAGGTATAGTATAATAGCGATGGATACCGGGCTATAAATAGTAAGTATAATGAAATCACCTACGTTTTGCATAATGTTACAAGTCAATATCATTTACTGATTTCAATGAAAATGTAACACAATGTCACTGCCAACAAACAGACAATTACATACAATATGAGTTTGCTTTTAGATGCTTTACTAGTAATACTATAATCAATATACCTCCAATGACATAGCCGGGCAGTCCACACACTGAATAACGTTTTTATAATTTCATATCATATCATGGTCACCTGTAACGAAAGGCATTTGGCTGAGGTAACAGCTTATGAAAATATCACATAACGGCTTGGATTCCAGAGGGTTCCAGTTGACTTGACTTCTAAACTCCTTTCGTCATTGTCATAACTGAACAGTGCGTCTGACAATGTAAGCGGCCGACTAACTTTTCTCCTAAAGCTGCTAGAAAAACATGGCTGTAAGGCAGGCGTACGGTTTGCAAAACACCATTCTTGGTGACCGAATGGCAACAACAACAAGTGGAGTTGAGCGGCATGGGTGACTAGGAACATGGCATCTCACACAAATGGGAACAGATTTACTCCACAATGGGGCCGTAGATGGTTACTCTCCTGAAAAGGTGTAACAAAGAGGGACTGAAAGAGAAATGGACTGGTCTGGATGTTTTTACTTTGACAAATTTCCTCGCTTTGTGCCGCCCTTTGTAACTACAAGTCACAACAAACAGCACGGTTAAGTACAGGCTTCCAGACAAAAATGTTAAATTATTTACCTTTCAACTTTCAGTAACAGGAACATCTTCTGGTTCAACTTTCCCCAGTTTTTTTATGATTTTATGCTTCAGAGAAGAAATTATGTACTTTACACTACTCAAATTCAAGCTCATGGGAGCAGTCAAAGACATTTTTGACCATTTGGCATCCTCTTTCTGAATGTAGAACTTTGTTTTTGTGACAGAAAAAATGAATTTGTATGGAAATACAGTCTGCACTTGAAAAATCACCATATCAATGACGGTTATGTCATAACCCTCTTATGGCGTGTCTCTAAAAATGAATGCGTTTCTTCTGTTTGATGACAGTAAAATTGAACCGAAGGTTAAAGAAACTTCAAAGGTATCTTGGCCCCCAAATGACATTAACTTCCCCCTCCCAAAAAGTTTGCCCTAAGTAAGACTCTTAACAAGGTGAACACCTGCAGATAATGCTGAATGTAAACATCCACCTCTGAGGGGACCTGACAATCCAAGACATATTGTCTAGCCACAAGAATGTGTGTTCTTTCCCACCCAGGGTGTCTGTGTTACAGACAGCACACATACACGCTGACTTTTGGGGACACAACTTTATGTATGGGCTAGCCCATTCCTGGACGGGGGAGGGAGGTTGTGTTATATACAACACACATAATGCTGACTTCTCTAACCTGTTTCCTCAGGGTTAGTCCATTGCAGGGAGGGGGAGAGGGGTGGAATTTTTCATGTACACAAAACTTGTCTCTACCTACTACTTACCTGTGCATACTTTCCACTCAGGTGAGACAAATCTCCAGGCACCATGAAGTGCGTTATAATCCTCCATTAACCTCAACATGATGAAGAGAAACAGACAGTTGTCCAAAATATGGTCCACACCGCCCCCCTCCCCCCTTCCACGTACAGCCAACCTTTCACACTCACAATGAATACTGAACTAGTATAGTTTAATTTATACAACATTTCCACTGTACTAACACCTGTTGAAGGTTATTCCAGGTCATTTGTTGGTAGAAAGAACATGGTACAGTACACTGCATATACATAATGCCAACGTTAAACAGTGAGAGGTACATTATACTGAACAGACTCGGATCTAACAAACTAAAGCATGGACATTTTAATGCAATGTGAGTAAGTGATGGAAATCCTTAAGTGTTCTTCTTTTTATCTCACAGTCAGGTACATAACCCAGCAAAAAAATTAGCGATAAAAAATAACAATAACACACCTAAATAGCAAATGGATAAATTCTCTGAAACGTAATTTTGTGAACAGCATCCATTTTCTTCTATCAGTGATTTAGAACTTAGAACTTTTCCAGTTGCTTGATTAATTTTGTATCACTAGTATGTACTGTTCTGCCTGGATGTCTAACTTTCATCCACATACATAGATGTACATACACTACATGTACAAACAGATTAAACGCATAAGAATCACTAGGATTGGGAAGATTTTTCCAAAAATAACAAGCAATACTACTGGTACATACTACCACAGCTACAGCGAAGTGTTGACAAAGATTACAACATACCTATGTCTAGGAAGATATTCTTGAGCCTGGCGAGGGCGTCTGAAAAGCTTCTGACATCGTGTGTGAGGGATATAATGTCCTCCTGGTCCACGATGTGTGAGTCTAACAGCTCCGAGTTCATACTGGTCATGGACCCACTCTTCGCCGCTCGCATGATCCCCAGGTTTCCGCTGCTCGCGGAGAGTGCCACGCCGGACATCCGGCGCGAGATGTTCATACTGCCGGACAGCGTGGTGTGGTGCTTTCTGGGAAGGTTCACGCTCATCGGACGAATTTCGAGACCTAAGGAGTCAGCAGTGGTGCCATCTGGGAGATCTAAATTTGGCCTGCCATTCTGGGGAAGAAAAAAGACGAGGTTGGTGATCAAGGCAAACCTTGCAAAAAATCTTCCTTTTGCTAAAACAATAAGTATGAATAACTAAGAAATTAGGACTAGCATTGAAATGAAATTTAAAAAAATAAGACATACAACAGGATGAAATAACTAAGTGATTCTTTATTCACTCTTTTAGATATACTTTTGTCTTGTTATAAATTCTACTTGAAAAACAGTAAGACAAAAACACTTTTCAACCCCAAATACCCTCGTAATAATGTAGTCATGTGACTAGTGGTAGGCCTATCAGTAACAGTCTAGTTGGATTAATATATAAATTATATTGAAGGAAAAAAGATGTATTTTAGCTGTAAGTATACTATACACATGCAGATGATGTCTTACACATCTCCTTCAATCTCTTCTTACCTACAAGAAACAGCTTGAGAGTGATTTTCAGCAGTCTTACCACCAGTCTGTGCATGTATGGAATGGACTGACCTGCCCACCACATAGCAAACCTGCCACCACAAATAATTGGTTGCCAGGGAAGAATCCTAGTCTTGTCATAAGCAAACAGGGCAAATTGACAGGCTACCAAAAAATATGCTGGTAGGAATCCTCATGAATGAACTCCAAATGACTCAGGAATGAGGTCACAGAGGGGGAGGGGGGAACTAAAAAAACAGAGGAAAGGGGTATGGATGACAGATGTACTTCACCCTTTTAGCTGTTCCAGTTCCAACTCTACAGATATGCCTTGTGTTGTCCTTGTTGCTATCCACACAGTACCCAATCAACATACCTCGATGTGTCTTAAGACCTCAACTGTTAGAAACTTCTTATACTCTCATTCTAAACCGAAGTATAGTCACAGCCACTAACACTGGTATACTTGACAAAATGTAAATATAACAGAGCTCAGTCAATACCTTCCGGCTATGTTCACCTTCAGAATGTTTGCTGTACCTGTAAATAATTGTAAATTGTGGACTGAACCCATCGAAAGCAAGGCCTTGACATATTTGTTGAAAAGAAAACTAATTCTGAACCAATATGGTGAGCACAATAAAGGTTCTATTGCTAGTGATGCTGAACCAACAAATATGTAGTTTCAAAAAACAAGCAGGCTCTCTAGACTGGGGAGAGCACAGCTGTGTGGCCACAGTACATTAAAACAACACACTGGTCACTTTTCAACATGTTCTGCTTCAGGTAGTACTACCAAACAGACGGGTCCTTCTGTTACAGTGGTGTTCCTTCAAGCAAGGCCTCTCTCCTTTTTTCCTCCCGCCTTTTTCTGCCATTTTCATTTTCTGCACGCATGGCTGAAATGCTGTGGTTACGGCAGGAAAAGTTTCTAGGCCAGACTTATGTGGGCACCGGAAATATCTCATGAAATGGCCTGGACATGAGGGCTGTTCTTGTCCTACTAACAGCCCAGACCTGTTTCCTGTGAGGTAATGTTAGACTGATCAAAGTTTCCTCCCTGCTCCAATCATGGGAGATGTTACAATGTGTGGGCCCTCCAGGCTACAGGACACGCGATAGGCAGAACCTACAACGATCCCTCTGACCTCTTTAATGCCTGGGATCCACTCTAAAGGAATCGCTTGTTTCTCCCATTGAGCAAACCAGCTCCGATTTGTATGGAAGACATCGCAGTTGTTCTCTGTCTCAATGGAAAAGATCAATTAGACAACAACACATGCGCCCCTCTCAAGTTGTAAACTACTACATGAAACAGATGAAGTACATACAGTCTAAACACTGCCTTTGAAAGGTCTAAAGTCCTTACCATTCCAGTCTGGGACAAGGCAAGGAAGCTTTTCATGCTACACCAGCAGAAATGTCCCTATAACGAGCAAAGTTTACAGCTATGTGTGGATAAAAACCTTTTCCTGCTTGACTCAGACCCAAATACAGGATCCTGCGTAAATCTAGCTGGCTTAGCCCTCTTTATGCGGAACGCACTAGTGATTTGTCGAGGAGAGTCGGGCATGAGAGAGGCACCCAAACAATGCTTTCATAAAGACCCAGACAAATACCAACTGGATTACTCCTCTACCTTTGTAGTTTAGCCAGGCTCTAGCTGTGATTGTACTTTTCATAGCACACATAACTGGCAATCATATCATACCTTGATACCTTAATACCATCTTCATATCATATAACACTGTTTCAATGTATGAGGTCAATAACTTACATATTATATATTCTCATATACATCTTAATATCTAAAGAAATTTAATATACAGGTTGCAATGAGATGAACAGAAAATTCATTCTAATAATTTCTATGATCCCTTGCCAATTTTAGCCATACTGAAATATGAAATTAAATGTGTATAAAATTGTTATGATGCAAAAGGCATTTCTTTCAGACAACTTTGAGTGAACATATAATATTGCATCATAGTTTTTATTTTCTATCCAAATTTCATGAAGTATAGGTATACTTTAACAGACAAATGCTATGTTACATATTAACTATTCCAACGTTGCTTGTTTTGGATTATAAGCAAATAATACTATACAGGTGGCAATCTGACTGTAAACAAATGCAGCGTGTTTGATAGAAAAATCAATAAGTGACTCATGGCTTTGGCACTCTAGTTTGTTTACATGACTTAACCCGGCATACGGAGCATTAGATCGATATCCATGTGCGATTGTCTGGGTGTAGTTGTACTGCACTCAATGTGGTGTGGCCCTTTGTTTCTGTCAATGCAACATAATAATTGAGTGTCTGTAGGGATTATACTAACCATCTGCTCTCCCAAACCACACCAAGTTGTGCTAATCACTATTATGTTGGCTTTCTCAGGGAACAGGCATTCACCTCTACAATAGAGGGGAAACACATTAGCATGTAATTATCCCATCATTAAACAAACTCCACCATTTATGGATCTTTTACCTGATGGTCAGTTGGAACCATAAACTTCAAGTGTTGTACTGTAGTGTAGGGGGGTTCCTTTCAAAAAGGCATCAGGCACACAAAACCAACAAGGCAGGGAGAGACTCTAGAGGGTAACCTGAACTACAGTGCAACCCTCTTGGCTAACTAGGCACTACTTATTCATTTACCAATAGTGTGCTCACTTGTAAACTGATCTACCTGGACAAACAGTGGCCCATTGCCCAGTACCTCTGTAGAATGATGGACGGTTTCAGTCACACACTTGAATTTCTAGGCAAACCACACACATAAAGAATACACCACACACATAAAGAATATGGTTGGACAGACATACAACCTACATCATTTCTACAACTGGTTGAAACTGTGTCACTTCAACTCCAAGCTGGAGGTATGGTCTTTAATTAACTATACTACTACTGAAATAAATGTGTTACTCTAAGAATGTTGTCATGCAATTTGATGGCAAACTTCAGAATCCTATGACAACTCTGTATGCTGCTGTGTACTCTGATATACTAATCATGTAGATTAATAAGAATACATGTATAGGCAGTCAGACATATGCTTATATTGCTGTGACATGATATTTCCCTGGCTGTAGCCATTATCATAATGCTCATCCCTGCACCTGTCCCTGTACATTAAGGGCCCAATTCAGGAGATAAAATTTTATGAATGGGTTTGGAACTTCCCCTCTTGAAGTGGCTTCAAAGAATGGATCAATGACAAGCCTGAATAATGACTGGTAGTATTTAATGGGAGAGCTGACCCTGTCTAACATAGCATTGATTATTAATGTGGTACATGTATTAAGGTTCTATCATATTCCCTAACATATTCAGCTTGTAGAATTACATTCTTCTACCAATCAAAAATGCATGCATGCACAAGACTCTGCTTTATCATTTTCACCATCAATGTTAGTACAAATATATTTGTATAGTAATAAATGATGACGTAATTTTTACGACATATTTCCTATTTTAGTGACAGGAAGTGTTTTGACTTAGATTGACCCATAAATCTTGTAATTGGGTAAACAGGAAACAGACCTGCATGGCATGTCATTAGAACGATGATAGTCTGACATTCCTCAGAGTTTTGAAATAATCCTAAATAGCGATGATTCATGGAGCCCCTGGCTACTTAGCTAGGAGATCCCAACACAGATTTTTAAGCTGTTGGCAATAGGATAATGCTCTGTACAGTGGTATAGTCTTACTCTGCCACCTAGAAGTTCTGGAAAGTCCCACTGGAGGATCTCCCTTTTCTTGCATGACGGAATTTCTGTGCCATGCATAAACAAGCATGATCAAGCTGCAGAGAGCAAGCAGGCAGCTTATGGGGCCAAGTCTGGTGGGGAAGACCTCATCCCAAATGGCTTCACGTCAAGCTCAGAAATGTCCCCACAGGTCTGTTGTGTTTGCGCTACAAGCCCTTCGCAGCAAATAGTCAGGGCGACCTCAGAAAAATACAGATGGCCTCTTGTTGAAGAAAACCTGACCCCCAATGGTCCACCCAGGGGTTAGAAAAGGTTGTGGCCTCGTCAAGCTGGAAATCATTTCTCTTGCCTTCCAGAAAGCACATTTTGACATGCATAATTAGGCCTGGGAGGAAGGGTCGGTTGGGTTCAAAGAACCCTGGTCTGGCGTGTTTTGTAAACGTATAAAAGCAGGATTGTACATTGTTTACTTTTCCGTTCACAGACATGGAAAATCCCATCATCGTTATATTATTTATTTGTCGAGGAAAAATCGCTATCCTTTTCTCATTAACTGTATGCTAACAAAAAAATTAAGTGGGGTTAGGGGCAGACAGTTCTAGATAATAAAATATAGAAAATCGATACCCCAAGTACTACAGTAAATACTAGTGATACTCAAATATCCACTCAGTTACAGAAATAGTGAAACCAGCTGGGGCAGGGTTGACAAGCCGCTGGCATACCTTGTGTAAAAAAAATGATTTATAGAAAACCAGGGAAGGCATACTAACCAGAGATGGCGTTGGCAACGGAGACATCTCTCCATATTCCAAGGCAGACAGCACTGCTCCTCCTCGCAATGAGGTCTTTTTCCTCCGGGCCGTACGATTCAAGAACTTCTTGACTTCTGACATGTTGCTTGCGGCAGGAAAGGGGAACGACACCCCCCACGGAAGGCTAGGCACACGGATATTCCCTACCGAATTCCACGGGAACCCCTCTACGCTTCAGTCCCGGCTGCCAGCATAGCTACCGAGGGGTTCCTCTGAGTCAATCTGGGTGGGTGAGGCCGGGAACCGTGGCGATCGCGACGCCTGGGACTGCTGAATAAACTTCTGTTCCGTTGTGTGATTCACTCCCTTCCGACGGCGGCCATGAAAAGTTTGATTGGCGAATCTCGCAGAGTCTCGTACAAAGTTTACATCACGTGACATTTTCGCGAGAGACGACGCGACTTTGAGCCAACATCCGGGAACTTCAGAGCTAGTCCAACATGGCTTCCAACGATTTCTATCTCCGCTACTACGTCGGACACAAAGGGAAATTTGGCCACGAATTCCTCGAGTTTGAGTTCAGACCAGATGGTAGGTGGTTCCACATGAATGTCCACATGCATAGAGTCCAATAATTACGATACAAGAGCTAAGAAACTCCAAGGACGGAACCGTAAAGTTCACCTAACTTGTCCGAAACGTGTGATGCTGCTTTGTTTCACATGGTCGTGGCGCGAATATATTTTGCTTGGTTCGCATGATTCTTTTGCAAAACGTGGCTGCCTAAAAGTACGTTTTTCCATTAATCTACTGCCTTATCCAATACTGAGATTATATGCACCCATAACGACCGTAAGCAAAACGGACTATTAAGGTAACCATTTTATTTTGTGTCTTCACCCCCCTCCCCATAATTTGCCCCAACTTGTTGTACCCTCTTGTACTTCCTCAACACGTTGTCTTGTGCCTTCTTTCAGGTAAGCTGCGATACGCAAACAACTCCAACTACAAGAATGACACCATGATCAGAAAAGAGGTAAGAAACACAAGACTGTTGTTTTATGTTATCATGTTATTAGTCATTAGCTTGTCTGCCAAATGACAAAATATACAAGTGCGTTCCATTTGTTTTGCTGAACTGTTTTTCACCAATTAATAAAAATAACATGCATATAGTATATGATTTGACTTCTTCATATTTTTGATTGGGCTAATAGAAGCGAGTGCTGTTCTTGTTGTTTTTGTGTATCATGCCGTACATTCAAATCATTTGAAGGCAAATATTCAAATTTTTGGTAGACAAATCACCCAACTGACAAAAGGTACTGGATGCTACCTGAAACCTCTGACCAGCCTTCTCAGAACAAGCCGGCAACAGGCGAAAATCACCGCCTACTCAAATTTTTGCGCCACCTACTTTCGTGTAGATATAAGTAAAATTGGAGTCTCTATTACAAACCCCTTCATGGCTCGCCTGCTACTTTCTTATTTCAGCCACCTACTCTAAATTTTTGTGAGAAGGCTGCTGACCATTTCCAAAATCATATAAAGTTGCCTGAGTAAATGTTTTTTGGCAAATCACCAACTGACTTGTGCATTTTGCCTACCACTCAATGGCTGGTATGGCATGGCGATCACTCGTATAGGGACTTACACAGCTTATGCACATTTTTCCAGGCATATGTACACAAGAGTGTGCTACAGGAGTTGAAGAGAATCATTGAGGACAGTGAGATCATGCAGGAAGACGACACACTGTGGCCACCACCAGACAGAGTAGGAAGACAGGTAAGGCACTCAGCAAAAATCTTGGCAGTAATACTAACCTTGCTTTACCTGTATGCATTGACCTAGTTTATGCTCCCCGTATTAGTATGATCTCACTAACATGACGGAACCATTGGTCCATTAACAATAGCTTCTTGGATACAAGAGGGACTATTTTGTAAATGAAGCTCTTTCAAAAACGAGTTGGTAGCAGGGCCAGAATACCTCTGTTACTATGGGAGAGAGTGTAAACTAGAGAGGATGTCAACCAAGCTAAAGAAAGTGTATTACAAAACAAGGAAACATTCTTTGGAAAGTTTTTTGGTAGCTGGAAATTTTAACTCTCCTAATCTGACCACCAAGTCACACTACAAGAGCTATTTTGATTTTAGCTCAGCAATAACTACAGATGTGAAAAGTCACAGTACTAACAAAGAGACATGGCAGGCATGTGCTTTCTGCTAAGTTAAAGAGATGTTTTATCCCTTAGTATATAATTGTTTAAGTAGTTCGTTTCTACTGTCTCATCCACAGGAGCTGGAGATAGTGTTGGGGGACGAGCACATCTCATTCACAACATCCAAGATCGGTTCTCTCATCGATGTCAACAACTGCAAGTAAGTGTTCACATGATTAGAGTTGTAGATATCCCTTTACATACATGTACAGGGCTCGAAAATACTTTTTGCTGCACACCTCCACTGGTGCATGTACCATTAAAATTACCTAACATATTGACTGGTGAAGTTTTAAGGTGCAGCAAGTAGACAAAATACCTACACAGCTCCAATATTTACCTGCACTAAGGTGCACATGCAGGTGGTTATTCTAGCACTGATGTCTATTGGAAGAGGTAAAAGTCGGTTGTCGTTCACCAATACAAGAGAGTTATCTGCTTTACCAGTACATGCATCAGTAATTCAGTATGGATACCAGATTTATTATTTTGATGTAATATGCTGAGCTAATCTGCAATGGAATTGCCAAGTGTATATGACTTCTACTGTAAGTAGGTTTAGATACAAAAAGTTTTCAGTTTGAAAAGGCTTCAAGCCAGTCATGTTTCACTCTGTGCCTCTTCCTGTCTCACATGACTTTTAACCCATCCCTGCGATTGTATTTTCAGAGACCCTGAAGGCCTGCGTGCATTCTACTACCTGGTCCAAGACCTCAAGTGTCTGGTGTTCTCTCTCATCGGCCTTCACTTCAAGATCAAACCCATCTAGACTGGCTTATTTCTTAGTACGTTAAGATGTAGTGTGTAGCAGCTGGTCTTAAACTTAAAAGGAGTCTGTAGGATTTTTTGTCATTTGTTCCTATGAGCCTTTTATTCTCATGTCCGTGCATTGGCCAAGTTGGACTTTTGGAGTTGAATGAACTGGAGCCCTGTCTAGGAATTATCTGGGTAAAAGTCCATCATACTTAGCATCACCAACAAAATATGTAATAGTAACCATTTGGAGCCCAAATCCTACAAACTCTTTCAGTGTCCTTTGAAAATCCATGGGTACCCATGGCAAGTCTGTAAAGGAAACTGTACATTAGGCCTTTTATTTCTGTGAAGTTTTTTTTTTTTTCACATGGTGTTGATGTATTATTTGTTAGCAGGCAGATGTAAGGGGAGAAGTCAGAAAAGAAGTGTAACAGGCAGACAGGAATGTTGTAGAGCAGATTGAAAAACTGCCATGTATTAAAATGGTTATAATGTAAAGACTTTCATGCATTTGAAGACTCTGGCAAGAAAATCAATGTTATGTATCTGGCACTTTTGAAATGCACTGTATAACTTATGTCTTCAGTTGAATTGATTTTGTCAAGACAACAGAAATATACTTTGCGATCATTGTTATCATTTTCCTTTCTATAGTCATTACCGAACATTTTCTTTGTCTTGCGTACAAAGACTAATCTATAACCACAAAAGCATTTGAAAGGAACAGGATGAAGTTTTTCACATTGCACATAAGATTTTACAGGTAGTCTTGTATTCAGATGAAAAAGTGTAGTATGTACAGTATACTCCATGTATGTACAAAATAAACATCATTCCTTCACTTTACAGTAGCAGTTGTTGGTGTGTGTGTCTATGTCTTTGTGAGCTACAATACCTTTGACTGGAAGTTTATGTATTTGGTAGTGCTTGTATGTATGTGGTTTAGCACCATGACTCAGGAGCCTGGGTTGTCATAAAATTTATGGGTTAGGTTATCTTGACCCTCTGATTTTGGACCCTCTGGTGGCTTTCCATGCTACTGCAGTCAACATTAACATTAGTCAAATATGGGACCTCTGCTTTTGTCTTATTCAAGAGCTGTACTGTCCCTACCCTAGGCTACATGTAGGTAACCATTTTCACCTAAAATAAATTGAGGATTCTGAGTCAACACCAGACCACCTGGTCACTTTAATTGTCTAGTTGAGAAGCCCATTGAAAAATAGCAGGCCTTGTTCAAATGAAGATTTTTGCACAAGACCCAAATCTGGGGACCCTATAGTAGGAAACACTCTTCTGTTCAGTAATGCCCCCTTGCACTTCTGACAATACTGCAGCTGCAACAACCAAGCTACTGGTGTTAACATACAAAATACCAGTGCTTCATCAGCCCTTTCTAACCCAGCTATCCCTGATGTGTGCCTCAGTCGCTAAAGAAGTGGATAAATTTCCAATGGTTCATGCTAACATGGTTTCCAAAATCACTTAAATTGGAAAGCATCATTTGTATACTTTGAACTTTTTTTGTCATAGATTAGAATCTACAAATGACACAAACATTGTAGCTGACGGAAGTATGTATGAAGTATGTTATGTACATATATTCAAAGAAGAAATCATATGATAATACTCACAGAAAGAATACTGATTCATAATTGCATAAATTATGTATATATATATATATAGGCCAGTGGCAGGGTAAATCATATTCTAGAAGATTGTCACTTATACACTGTATATTGATTTACACATATCAATTAAATTCAGACCATAGAATTAACTACAACAGCACACATGAACTTGACATGATATATTCTTTTGCATGTAATGTTACTTATGATTAAGTAGATTGAATCTTTTTGAGACTGACTGAAAAAAGTGTCATCACAGGTAACTTTAGGTAACGTAAGAACTAACAATTCAACATAGCACTTCTAGAAGACTAAAACATAACCCATGACCTCAGTGGCAGAATTCTTTGCTATATTATAACTTGTAACAAAAGTCATGCATAAAAGAATTGATAGGAGAGCATGATACATGTAGTTCAGTAAAATGGAATGAATAAGCATGGTCAAAAAAATAATATTATACTGTAAATCTCAAGACAGTATTTGGACCCTACAAACTCATAAAATGCGAGTGGGCCTATAGCTTTCAGAAATGATCTTTGCTCTAAACACATTGCCCAAACTAAGGACATTATACAGTGTACTAGTAATGTCCTTGCCCAAACCAAGGAAGTTTAATATTTGATTTTTAACCTCCTTGGCCAAACTAGGCACCTCCAGAATGTCAATTATATCTATACTTTCAATGAGTCACCAATACAGGAGTTTTCTTTTACACAACCAACATTTCTCAACCAAGTGCTGACATTTCAGTGTCTATCAAACACCTTCCTCAGAGCTTCTGACTGGAGTTCTGCTTCTCGCCACTATATACAGTAGATACCGAAACGTCAGCACTTAGGTGAGAAACCTTGGTTGTGTAAAAGAAAACTCCTGTATCCTATACTTAACCAACCTGATGAAACTATTTTTGAATGTTTTTACAACTGTTTATACAGTGTATCTGCCGATAATGTACAGGGGTGAAAACCACAAATGTAAATGATAAATGTTGTATTGTGATTTTCAGGCAGTCATGTGTATCATAAGTATACAGTGTTCCATTGATGGAGAGGTCCTTGTACACAAGTCTGTATAGAGAGTACAGATCCTTTATGTAAGTCCTCCATCCTCCTCCTCACTGATAGAGAAGTGCCTGTTGCTGCTGGATGGAGAGTTGTCCATGTCCATAGAGTTCTGATATACCTGCAACAGATACAGAAAAAAAAAGAGTTAAAACATGCAATCTGATTTTTAAAAAAGTTATCTTTTCTACCAGACTTTGTGCATGTAACATTTAGTTGTTTTTCTTCCAAATACTAGATTTCACAGAAAGTTGTTTACTAATATACTTCTAATAACCTATAGGGATAGACCAAGGAGGTTCTATCAAACCTTGTTTTTTTATATTCTCAATCAGGAATGTCTCAATCATAACAAACTGGACAGTCAAATAGTCTGTTATTTTAGACAAGTTGAACATTACACAAAGAAAGATTGGTTTGCATTTGGACAGGGTAAGGAATGTCGATAACTAACAATGGCTGAACTAAAGATGCCTCTTGGCCAATTTCAAATAATGACGTCCACTCATCATAATTGATGCCTTTGTGCCAACTGAAGATAAAGAGACTGGTTTAACTGCTGGGTACAAGTGATGTCGAAGGTCACATAATGATCAAAATTGGGGAGTGTTACATCCACAGAAATTTTTGCGTGTTTTGGGGTAATGATTTTTTCATTTGATTTCTGATTTTCAAAAATTGCACATGTAGGCAAGAAATGAATTACATGCACAGTAGCAGTGACTACAAACCAAAATACAAAAGTACTATAAAGAAGAAAAGTGTGGCACTTTTGCAATTCAGAAACTTGGCTTTTTTTTCGTAGACAACCCATAAGGGGGTTGGAAGAAAGTGATAGTTGTTGGTGTTATTAAGAAAGTCTGGATACAGCCATGCCCTGTTGACTATACCCTAAAGCCCCTGGCACACATTTAGAACCTTTCCCCGACCACCAACCAACCAAGGACAAGGTTGGCTGAAGCTTGGGAGCAGTCTGACCAGATAGACCTATATGAATAGAATCAAATTTGAGTTAAATATGACTCAAATTTGACTCCCAACCACAGCCGACCTACTCCCTAACACCAGCCAAGCACCAGCCATGGTGGAACCTCCCTTCTACACCTGAATGTTTTAAACATCTTAAAACATTTGGCTGGTCAGTCAAACAGTAGTCAACCTCACCAAACATGAGCCAACCACTGCTGACAGTGGCAGGCAATATTCACCTACTAAGTATGTGTGACAGGAACTTGAGTGAGCTAACTAGGAGAGCATACTGACACTGAAAAGGTGCTATCCAGTACTAGATATGTGAAAGCAGACTGTCAATTGTTAGAAGGTAGCAACAGGAAAATTTACTGGAAACTTTGCTGACAAACCCATCAAAGTTTGCCAACACAAGGTAAAACTACAAACAAAAACAAAGCAAAACAACTTGTTCCACAAGCGTGTCTCCTCAATAAACTGGTTTATTACATGAAAATGATATTACTGAATATGTGGAATTGAATGCAGTTTATTGAATTTCAGAACTGTTTAACCTTCTCCCTGGTGTTTAACTCTAACAATACAGATTTTAGGCTAAATCAGCAGGAAGAAGGTGAAAGACTTTAAGTTCTCTGTTTGCCGAGCTTTGGGGCAATTGACAGTCTAGCTTTCTAACTTGGACATTAAGCAACTTTAAAACTTGTTAAACCTGTTAACCAACCCTTTTAGTTTACAAAAACTAGTAAGTTAGATACTCTGGATACAAAAAAACATCCTTGAATAGGTGGGTGAACTGTTTCAAATCACATTATGTTCCTGTGCAAAATGTGTCTTCTTTTATGATTGATTTGAAGGTGGAAACAGGTAAGACAAGCACTGATATTTCTGCACATATCCTCATTAAGTGCTTCTACTGTACTTCTTAGTAACCTACACTGTACGTATAATAATAGCTTTTTTATCACTCTAGATATTTACGTATTGAAGATACAACGAACCTCCTTGGTCATCACTCTCAGATTAGTTCTCATTGTTTTAAAAGATGTGATTGTCATCTCTAATTGCATAAAAATTTCTATGCAACAGTTAACGTTACATGACACATGTACATAAAAATACATATATACAAAACTGGTTCATAAGGCACAGGTAATGTTCTAACATATGGTAAAATTAAACACAACTTCTGAGGCAACTAAAAACAACTGAAGAACTAAAAACCAGACAACTGGAAGCTTCCATGCACAAGCAGGCTCCCCAGATTGTTGTTGGCAAATTTATTTCTCAGCTAACAGTAACTGTTAACAATCTTAAAGATTTATTGACAGTCCACAAAATGTGCCCTTGACTTTACATAAGATCATTTTTGGTTTAATAGTCGGCACACATATATCCCCCTCCAGGCAGCACACAAACACACGATCTGAGTGCTACACCTGTGTGTGGTGGGCGTTGGGCGTTCCTCCGTTCGACACCCTCCTGTTGTAGTCTGACTCCCCCAGCTGTTCGGCCTCAACCACCCTGGCCAGCAACCCTTCCAACATGGGTTTATATTGACTGATGTCCTCCAAAAGTTGACACTTGTGTTGCAAGTGGTGCATAGTAGCGTCTCTCTCCTTTAGCGAGGCCACCAGCTTTTGAACGTGGGCTTCCGACGCCTCCAAACTTCGCCGAAGTTCGGCTATTTCGGAGTCTTTCTCCTGGGTAACTTCCTTCAACCTGGTCTGCATCTGCTCGTCTTTCTTGATGAGGGACTCGGCCTGTTCTTGTACGGTCTTCTCCAGCTCTGCCACCCGCCCGTACAGCTGCTGTAGGTGCTCGTTGGCTTCCTTAATGCTCGTCCGTGTCGGGGAAAACATTTCCGTGGTCATCGGGCGGCCGGGAACATGTAGAAACTGTGATTTTCAGGTCCTGACGTGGCCGCCGTACTTCCGAGTTTTCTGGACCAGGCTGTCTGCCAGCGACACACAGACAGGGTCATGGGTCAACTACGCGCGCAGATCTATGGGATAGCTCCATCTCCAAGCAGATCCCTGGTCCCAGGAAATAAATCGTAACCAACCACTGCGTAAGGCAGTATCCAGTTGGCCAGGCAGCGTCCAGTCCCCATAGAGGCAGAGGCATGCTTTTGCCACCGAAGGATCTGCTTGAAGATTAGGGATTCAATTTTACCGAATGCTGAATGATCGGGCAATCTACAGGCGGTCGGGTGAGCGCGTGAACTGGTGACAGGTGGCTGAATGATCCTTATAAAAAAAAATTTAGAAAAAAAAACTCCTGCATTCTCATTAAAGGCAATGAACTAGTCTCTACCAGACTCCTTTGCAGGCTGAATAAATAGTAGAAATCGGCAAAGGGGGAAATCATTGGCCAGAGGAGTTGGCCGGCCATATAGGGTCCAGTTTGCCGTGCAGACTAGCACAGCAATGAACTGTAATCCGACATGACTTTACTCCGACACTTTCCAACACTCCTCTGTCTGTTAGGACCTAGCTCTGATGTCTGATGAGCAAAATACCCTGGCTGGGTACCATCCTGGTTAGTTTACTGGTTGGTGGGAGCTCGAGCGACTGTGGGAGCTAACCAGGATGGTACCCAGGCTATCTTTTAATTGCTTTGCTGTTAGCAATGATCCTGAAAGAGCTTGTGCAAAAAAACAAGACAGTGGAGTGTGCTCTCTTTGATTTTTTTATTTCTATTTTTATTATCATTATTTTTGCCATGCACCATAAAAAAGCAACGTTCATTCAAAATGATACAGTAATGACAAAGAGTTTTAAGGTTATCTCAGACGACTACGTCCTGCTCGGGAACTGGTCGGACTTTCCGCTGAGATCTCTTCCTGAACAGTCGGCTGAGGATCCCGGGTCGTGGCGGTCTCGGCGGCGGCGCAGTCCGTCTGGAGACAGTCGGGGACACGGAGACGTCCTCGAACTTCTGCAGCGCGACGTCGTTCAAGGGGTCCTCTGACAGACAACGCAGCACCTGTACCGATAAATTCGGAGAACATTTGGATTTTTAGGGCAACAAGAAAAATTCGGCGAACTCCAGCAACAAAACGAAATTGCTATAATATAGCGTATGGTAGTATTTATTTCATAGCGCATTGTAGTATTTATTTCAAAGTACCTTTGAAAAGTCCATTTTCATTAGTTTACTGCTTTTAGTAACAAGGTGACAAGGTAACAAGGAGGTAAGCAGCCTGCAATAATATTTTGGCCGCTAGTCGTCGCCCTTGACTTGACAGGTGGAAGACGCGATCGCATCTGGATCCGTGTTATCATTTAGCTTGTCAAAGAGGCTAAGAAGGAACCGAACGTCTAAAAGGATCTAGGCCAACCTTTCTGTCAACTGAATTTGGTTCCACACAAGATTGACATGCATAGATTTGCTGTCGTATTTTATAAACCGTATACGAGAAACTATTTCTCGACCAACCACCGTACGATATAGAGTAAAAGACTCTACTCTAGTTTCGAGAGCAGGACCTCACCTTTTCGAGATACATTTCCTGTTTGACGCCATTTTTTATCCCCCTTGTTTCCCTCAGCATGCTGTCCACCTTTCCCTCCAGATCGTCAAACTCACAGCGGACTCTCCTCCCGGTGCCCCTGATCTGTCTAACCCGGTCGCGAAGGTCCGACACTCTCCCCTCCAACTCCGACATGTCCCCGGCATACTCGCGGGAAAAGTCGTCCAGATCGAAACAGTTTGTTTTGTCTTCAGAGTCTTCCTCTGTAAACACATTTACTGGGTCTCTATCCTCTTTGTCTGTTGTTAGTGACATTCCGTGGCGATTCATTGACATGTGGTAAACACGCCAACAGGATACAATCTAAGGTGTATTACACGTACCTTTTACATGAAGTGAATGTTGATATGAGGCCATATGACAACAGTAAAGGTGATTCGTGTGTCCAATTTTGTGTCATAATGTCGTTCTTGAGACTTGTGTGGTTACAAGATGTTCTGGAACGGATGGCAATACAGTGTACCTCCGTCTGAATCATGCAACAATCTAAGGAACGTGTCGCCTATATTTTAAAAGACATTAACTTGTCGTGATATAAAAGATCAATAGACTGGTTATGGAGCATGGTTAGATACGTAAGTGTCGTTATTTTGCATAGCTCTTGTTTCTTTGTTTCGCTTAACCGGTAACTTGACCGCCTTTAGGCACAACAACCAAGGCTTGATTATAGTGAACCACACACACCGGGAAGGACCCTTACAAGTACTTAGTACTATTTTCGATAAGTGCGGCGGGTTCTTGAACGTGCGTGGGGTGTGGCTCTCTTAACGTCCTATCCGAGGGACGTCCCTAACCGAAGCTAGGTACTCATTTCTACCTGAGTGAAGTGAGGAAAGTCGGGTCAAGTGCCTTTCCAAGGGCACAAGATCGGTGAAATGGGCAGGATTCGAACCCGGGACCTCTTGGTCTGAGCCGAACAGGCTACGGATTATGCCACACGGCCCCAGGCCCTACTTATCACGCGTATAACGTTAGCAAGTGAGTCACCCAACATTAACTACAAATGCATTATGCGTAGTCATTAACGATTTTTCCCCAGATGTCAGGTCGAAAACTTCAGTGGTAATGCCCATCGGAGAAAGAGTACTAGTACAGTATCACGTTATCATGGTGACAACGTCTGTTTTAACATGATCCTTTCGAAAAACTGGACTGGCGATTGAAACTACGCCCCTCCTCCCAACTAAACAAGTCCACGTGGATTTGTTGATATTTGTAACGTTTTGTTTACACTATGAAAACTTCCGCATATGCGCAGTAGTATTTGATATCACGTGGTTTATCTTGACCAATCGGAAGGGTCGATGTCTACAAACGGGCGCCATTTTCAAAGTCGATCAAAAAAGACAGTCGTTTTCTTGATTTTTCACCTCTCCTTGATGTTTACTTGTAAACGGTGGACATTCTTGAAAGCGGTACTTGGTCAGATCTACTTCTTAAGAGGAAGAAACGCCAGACATTTTTGTTATACATCGTAATCCACTCCTATTGCGAGGAAAGAAAGAAAGCTAGGCGGAGGCTTTGGCACCTTGAAGCAGATTCAAGATGGCTGCCGCTGAGGAGTTGTTTTGTAAGCCTGTCTTCGTCTGCATGAAGAGCGCCGATCGGGAAGACAGGTGAGTTCAGGATCTCAAAAACGATATTCACGGTTTTTAAACTTCATAACAATGTAAGAATTATACCCCCCCCCCCCCAAACAAACACATACTATGCTCTTCTGGTTGAAGGACTTCTCAAAAATTATAGACGTGGGGAGAGACTGTTCAAAATTATTATAATATTTATGTACAAGTACCTAAGTATTTTGCAAGGTGTTTAAAAATCCATTCTGTTTTTCCTAAACATTTGACTGTAACCATATAACAATTGAAACTTCAAAAAAGGTGAGAAATATAGCTAGGGACTATACTAAACAAAACTGACTAGAGAGGTGTACCTTTTTTTATGAATTATTCATAACTGATAAATTCTTTTTACTGTGAATTATTCATATAACTGATTCATATATCTAGCCTTGTAATAAAAGTCGGTAAAAGTACCTTATAATATGCTTCTTGTTTGCAGGAGAGCTCACATCAGAGTCACAGTGGAGCTCAGCACGGTTACAAACCCTGTTCACAAAAAGGTCAGTCAAATCTACCCTAGGCTTCACGTTGATTGTTGCAGAACTTAACAATTTGTTGTGTCAACTTATTGCTAGTTTATTAAGGTATTCTTCTAATGCTTTCATTTCAAACTCAAAGGAAGATTGGAAGATTGGTCAATCCTTGTTTGTTGTGTCTGTAGGAGTTGGTGGTGAGACTGACAGACGACAGTGACCTGTTCTTCCTCTTTAATCTGGCTCTAGGGGAGGAAGACTTCCAAATGTAAGTGATGTCTCTGATACAAGTGTAGCTTTCTTCATCTTGGGCCAAACTTGGCTAGCCAGACTGTAAGTGTTAGGACCAATATTTTCTTCTAACTTACATACAATTCACATTACCTTCTATGTTAAGTACATGATTTTGTTATATACATTGTACCCACCATGTTGATTTTTGTTATGGAATTAACTTATGAAAATTGTTGTCCCTTTCCTTGGTTAGGTTGAAGTCCCAACAGGGACTTTTAGTAGATTTTGGAGCCTTCCCACAGAAGTTCATTGACCTGTTAGAGCTCTGTCTTCAGGAAGAACAGAAGGAAAATCCCAAGTAAGTCATATTCATCTTTCAATAATTCATATTAAGTAAAAGTAAAAAAAAAGTAAAGTATAGTTGGTTGCTGTGTCAAAATGTGTGTTGTAATATTAAGTTTTATATCTCCACAAATGACATGACATTTTCTTGGCTGTCTTTGTCATTTTTTTTATCACAATGCCTGATCTGAGAAGGATCATTTACTTACACATATTCCTTCTAACATCTTTGTACTCAGGTTTCTTCTGCAGTTTGTATCTGGCAACAGTACAGACAGGGGCTGTGCACACCTGAATATCGTGGAGACAAACCCCTTCAAACACCTGACTCACCTGTCCCTGAGATTTGCACCTGGCAACGACACAGATGTCAAGAAATACCTGGCTGTGTGTCTAAAAAACCTCAAGGTAAAGATTAGTCAGATTCAAAATGTAGAAAAATAAAGAGTGTATCTGTATCAGTATAGCTGGCATAACCGCCCTTCAGCGTGACACACCAGCTTTGCAGGCATGCAGCGCAGCAGCTAGCTATATTGCACTGAACAACCTGTTACACCCAGTCTTTGCACGTCAAACTATAGGAGTTGTTTAGAGCTTTCTAGTGATGATTCCCTAGCTGTTCTACTCTACGATAGTTCTTGGAAAATATGAGTTTTTAAACTGTACTAGTACTAGTGTGTCACTAAATCAATGATCTTAGAAAGAAAGAAACAAAAAGGCATGTTTTTCGTCTCTATTTGTATTAGTATATTCCTTTCTTTAATATGGCAATATTCAAGGGAGGTTAGAATAATGCACTTACTATACATTTGTAGCTTGTTCTGTTTGTCTACAGGAAGAGAGGTCCTCACTGCAACACAAACTGGAGTCTACAGAGGCAGAACTATCCCAGAGACTACGGAACACCCAAGATGTAAGCATTTGCAGTTTCACCTCTATCTATCACTGTTTTCTTAAATGCATCATCATGATATTGACTCAGTCAGAGATTTGGAAAACAGATATGTCTCTTACTGTTACGGTAATGCTGTTATGTGCAAAATTCTGTTTTTCACCATTTTTTTCACTTCTATCCTCAGGCTCTGTCAGCAAAGTCTGTAGAACTAGACAAGTTAAAGTCGGAGCTTCAGACCACCACAAGTAGTCTCACCAACAAACATGTACAGGAAGTCACCTCAGAAAGGGAAAAGGCACTTAAGGTAACTTACTATTATGTTTTCATGGTACTTAACTATCTTGATACGGTGTTGTGAAAATGAAGAATTTGCAGTTGAAACAATAGTACTGCTAGGTTTGTACCTGTTCATGTAGGTTCAGATTGCTGAAAATCCAGTGTTGTATGACAATCTGACCCCTGGTTGTTTTGTACCTGTAGGTTCAGACTGATTCCTAATCCAGTGTTGTATGATAGTCGAATCCCTGATTGTTTTGTACCCTTAGGTTCAGACTGACCAATAATCCAGTGTTGTATGACAGTCGTACCCCCGGTTGTTTTATACCCGTAGGTTCAGACAGACCTCCAGCAGCAGATAGAACACACCAGAAGGGAACTAGAACAGACACACAGACAGGCCAGCAGGCAGTTGGAGACCAGGGTCGGTGAACTGGAGAAGGTCAACAAGGTAATGCAAGTTCCCATCAAGCATCGTGGAGTATGGATAAAACATCTACTACTGTATTTTAATCCCCGCTTGCTACATCTAAAGCTTGAAGAAAGTCTTAGTCTCTGCTGGAATCAGGGTTCCCAAAGCTGGGACCAAAACTGTACAACTCTTTTCTCCACTACCCTTTTTGTCTGTACAACTCACAAATGTAGACTGAGTCTTTGTTTGTACGTTGTAGTCCAGCTTTTGTATTCATCCATACACTGTGTGTTTGTACAGATCTTATTTGTAAGGAACAACTCAATACAGAAGTAAATATGAAGTGTTTATGTGTATTTCTGCAATGTTGTTTCACATGAATAACGATTGAAGATTGACAAACAAATTCAACTAAGATCTGCATTTGTTCCCGTGCGTACAGGACCTGACAGATCGCAGGTACAGGGCAGAGTCTACTATCAGGGACCTGAAGGCAAAACTGGCAGGACTAGAGGAGGTACAAAGATCGATGCTGTTTACTTATGTACCATTGTTTCCTAGATAATTATAGAATACAACATTGTGTATTCTGTATCACCCACCGGAGGGCTGGGACCGAGGGTGATGCAGAATACACCATGTTGTATTCTATGTATGTCATACCCACCCAAGAAAACACAGGTTAACACATGTTAAATGTGCCAAAATTTGGTATCCCTGAACAAAAAAAATTGTAACATCATCAATTTGACAATTCCAACATCTGAATTTGGTATTGAAATTTTTTAAAGCAATGCATTAGGCACATGCAAAATGCATTCAAATTCTTCCATAGAAGATTTGAAAGCCCTTTTTTTGTAATACTGCTAGTTATCACACAGACTGGAACACCGGTGTCAAACATTATTGCAGTCCAGGTATAACATAAGATACAGTATCTGTACAAGATACTGTACCCGATAATCATTGCACAATTTTGTTGCTGGATTATGATCTGGAGAGTTATGAATAATCTAATTCTACAGGAGAGTCACCGAGCCAAGCAGGATGTGCAGAGTCTGAGACGAGAGAACGCGTCCCTGGACTCTGAGTGTCACGACAAGGACAAGAGACTGTCACAGCTGAAGACTCGTGTGGCCGTGCTGGAACAGGAGGTCAAGGACAAGGGGGAGGTGGGCGAGCGCACCAACCAACTCATGGAGACCGCTCACGAACAGAAGGTAAGTTTTTTTTAATTCATCAATACACAACAAAACAGTAACAAGGACGGTGTGGCGCTGCACTCAAGTTTATAACTTACTTGTTTCCTGCTCTGATGTATGACTATGCCCTGGTTTCATACCACAATCATTGTAACGTGTATACATACAAGTTAATTACAATTGCATGTTTTTTGAGCTTGACAATATATGATGAGATAGAAAGCATCATCACATCCTTTACCATCCGTACTCTTCAGAGAAGGTTAGAAGAGAGTCTGGAGCAGAAACAGGTGCAGATTGCCAAGATGGAGACGACTATAAAATCTATGTCAGAGGAAATACTGAAGGTAATGGACCATATTCTTTGCATAACAAAAAGAACAGCATGTCTTTTTTATGCCATTCCTTTTCTAGTCTAAGAAGATGGGATACTAAATATAATTTTGCAGCAACCCAGGTCATGTACTGATCTGTGTAGTTGTCTCTCCAAAGATTTAAGATAACAGTGAAAGTGACTAAATAGACTGTTGAAACAAAAAACGAAAAGTTATGTGAAAAGAACTTCTGCTTTGATACATTTGTCTTGATTGTGATGGATGACTCAATTGTTTAGGTTCAGGTCCAAAACCTATCCACTAAAGTATAGGTTGTTCTTCTTTTGTTGAAAGTGTTTTGTGAATCCAGAGTATCGGTTTCCACCCCTACTGCTGCATACTGAGAGTAAATATTGTTTTTTCTGTCTTCCTACAGGGTAATGAGATCATCAAGCGACTACAGGGAGACCTGAAAGGCTACATGTCTAAGATGAAGTTAAAGAATGCTGTGACGACCAAGCAGGAGAAAGTCCTGACTGAGAAGGAGAGGGAGTTAGACAGGGCCAGTCAGGAACTCAAGACTGTCCGAGAACAGCTCAAACAAAAGGAGGAAGAGGTAAGAGTTAAGCAGTAGCTTGTCTGATACTCAGAAGGCAAGGATATGTTACAAGGTAGTCAACCCTGTTCTTTTTCACTTCTTTTTGTTCTGCTATCTCTGATTGGCTTGTTGAATGTTGGGTTCCTTTCAAGCCCTTCAGTCATTTTAGTGTTTAGGAGTGTTTGATTGAAATAATGTGTATTTAGGTCTTTACCCTTTTCTTCCCATCCTAGAACCAGAAGATGAATGAAACACTGGAAAGTACCATGGAGAAGCTGGAAGAAAGTAAACAGCTCCTCAAGACTAATGAGAATGGTAAGACAATCAAGATACATGTCTTTTGAAGAAGTCTTTGAATGGAATTTTGAACCAGATTTCTATGTACACAAGTCTTATGTCCATAAACAGTTTCATCTGGTTAGAAACTTAACCGTATATTTTAAATTTTTCTTACACACACAACCCAATGTTCTGTAGATATCAATGTTTCAGTAACTCCTCACTCCTCGCCACCTTCCTCTGGCAAAATAACCTGCTCTCTGCTTTGTGACATAGCAGCAAGGATGCAATTGACATTCCTATGCGACTGGCTTCTACTTCTACGGATTGAAGTCTTAGTTCTGTTCTGTTTTGCATCTCAGTGATCCAGTGGTTGAACAAGCAGGTGACAGAGTCCCAGCTCCAGGCCCAGAACAGACATGGAACCTTTGAGATGCCATCAGCCATCTCTTCATCTGCCAACTCCTTCAAACCTCCCATGGGACTGGTGAGTTGTCATGACAACAAGGATTCTATATTTAGAACTGTGATAAGTCAACATGATCTGTCCTTACCCCAGGGAGCTTCAGTAAGCAGGCCCATTCATACAACATTTAGGCTTTCAACTGGTGGCCTTCTAATAGCCAATTAGGGTGAATTTTGGTCACTCAGGGACTTGTTTAGTCTTATTGATTGTGGACACCAGCTGATGCAAGGTAGTTTAGTCCTTCATGTCTGTTGTCAAGAGTTGAAAGAAATGTCCTTTCTTTTGAACAAATGTTTGGGTTTCTAAAGAACGGATTTGAAGAGGGGTTTTCTGTGATGTGATTTCAGCCTATACAGGCTTGATGCTATGTATAACCATGACATAAATAATTCTGTACCACACAGCATAACTACAGCACACCTGTGTCCACTGTGTCCACCCTGTCTGCCGACAGTGCCAGTCAGCCCATGGCCTACCGTCCCCCTCTTGTACCCATCAACCACCAGCCACAGGTGAGAAGGACTTTATTAACAACTATGAAGTCTGTCTCTCTCTCTTTTTTATCGTTTATTGTCTGTTGTTCCCCATGACGGGTTAGACGTGCTTGCACTCTGATGCTGGGGCTTGATGGTAGCCATTTGCCTCTGTCCTGTGGTTCTCGGGCACAGCAGATGTCAATACCCCAGCAGGTTATCAAATTTTTACTGTTGCAGTTGAGCAGTTTTATTACAATATTACTCTATATTCCTGTTCTTTAGTAGAAGATGACATCTACTTTTCGTGTACATTATCCATGTCTTATCTGTTATCTCCACATAGTGGGTACTCGGTATACTTTCTCTGCCTCACCCCATATGTTATAAGCAAGGCTGCCAGTTGTAGAATGATCAGAGACAGTTTACACTAGCCAAATTTATTAGGTGCTTTTATAGTGCAAGCTTCCTCTTTTAACTACTAGTATTGCTTCTTACACATGATTTGGTGGATCTTATTCTTCATCTTATCAAGCTTGCACAACTTGAAGAAAAAAACAAAAGGAATACCATAGGCTTGAAATGTAACATAAGTTTTCGTGTACCTCACAGATCCAGTATAACCCCCATGGTGCAGCCAGGAGAAGTGTAACTCCCACCGAGCGTATGCGGAAGTCTGTGTCCCCCAACATCCCCCCTATCCCGGAGGAGATCACACCCAGCCCAGGGCCCAGGTCTGCCAGTCCTGCAGCTACTCAAGGGTAACTTCTAACAGCTTTTATCTATCAGTTGTGCATGATCAGATCTAAACCTCTGGCCATTATGTACTCCACAACTAAGTGATCCTGTCACTATTGGACAAGCATCAGTCAAGATTCGACTATTACATGTAGTATCAATTTTTTAGGTACACAAATGTATTATGAAGCAAGTTTAAACTGTAATTTCCAGCACAAGAACTTCGATTTACCCAAATTTTTGACAATACAACTCGTCTTTGTCAAGGAATGAGCAATCCACCACTTCTTTGACGTCATGTCAGTATTGTTACACTCCTTTTTCTTCTTGCAAAGATGACAGATTGGGCAAAATTTTTCCATCATGAGCAACTAAATTCCATCAAACGATGGAAAGACAGATGCTGACTAGAAAACTGCTTCTAATTTATTTAAGTAATCAAATGAACTGAAGCTGAAGCTTTTGACATCTTCAAATGTCAGTTGTACTCCGTAGATCATTCATCCCCTTCTCTTTATTTCCCCCTCACAGTGCTCCTGCCTTGGATCCAAAGTACCTGCAGCGGCGTGAAGACACCATCCCTGTCCGAGGACTGTCCAGAAGCTCCCCCCCTCCCAACCTCCAGGAACCTGCAACACTCAACACCCGTCCTAAGGAAAATGTGCCACAGTCTTCCAGGCATAATGGACAGAACATGGGGCCACAAAAAGCACATGTCACCACGGCAGCTCAGAACATCCGGTTGAGTAAGGCATCGATTGTACCACAGGCTCCGCTCAGGCCTATGGTGCCAGCACAGCCCCCACTCATGTCTGCATATTTCCCTGGGAAAGTTACATCCTGATGACTGAATATAACTGTGAAACAAATACACATCTGACCAGGATTGAAACTCAAACACAACTGACTTAATTCATCTTAACACCGGCTGGTTCTAAAGCCCCTTCCCTCGAACAGGTATAGATCACCTGTTTGAACACGACGCAGGCACGTGTGCTAGCTCAAGTTTGAACAGGTGGCAGGCCCCACTCGAGGGAGGGACTAGAACCGGCAATAATGAACAATAAAGAACAATGTCAATAGCAAGAGTATAACACTATATTACGTTGTTACACCTGTGTATTGAGTAGACTGACATGCTAAAGAGAGAGCACCCTTTTTTTTTATTATTTCACATGTATACTTTGTCAGAGTGAAATCAATTTTAGGTATCAATAATGAAATGACGGTAGCTATCATTTCCAAGTTTTATGCTGAATAGTCAGCTCATGTATAGAAAACTTTGTGTATTAATTGTATAGGAAAGTTTGTATCGATTGGACAGATATGTTCTTATGTACCTATAAATTTTTAATGATAATAAAGTGATCTCTCATTTCAGAATTTGAAATGAAGCCTTCATTTTGTTCTTTTATTTGTTGTCTAAGAAAAAAAAAGTTTGATGAAAATTCTTACACATGTTATGGAGTTAATGAAGATTACAATACTAGGGTACATTATTACACAGGTTGGGTACAAGTACAACTGTATTATGTTTGAGTTGTTTTGAAAGCATATAAATGAAGCAACTTCTTTTTTATCCATACAGAAAGCAGCTTACTAGTAATTGAAACCTTATTGAAGCTCTGTCATATGCTCCCATTGTCACAATGATTAGTTTTTGATTGTTTACGCTATTGCCCATGGTTTATTGACGACAGGAGGTTGTAGTCGTGAGTCATTGCGACAAAGGTCTGACATTTAGAAAGCCCCAACTAATATATTATGGTCTTAGCAACAAGTGATGGGCGTGGCTCATTCGGTTGCTATGGACGTCTTTCGCTGTAACCGCATCCAAACGTAGTTTCAAATTGTCAATATCAAGTTCGGTTTAAAAAGATGGATATGGATTTGATTAATTGTTTCGACTTTAATGTATGACATATACTTGATCCATCTGATTTTCTATTCCTGCTTGTGCGTATTTTGCAATTTGACGTGAAAGTGGTCAAACGACGCGTTTTGTTGCGGTTCAGCCGTCAGAAAAATAAAAGATGGCGGCGTGTCGGGAAACGTCGCTGTCCAACATTCTCGTGGAAGAGTTTGAAAAATGGCGAGAGGAGACACAGGACGACTCGATTTTCCTTCTCGAGGTAAAGTAGAACATTTTTGGCGTCAAACTGTTTGACTCGTGTGGAGTGTTCTCTTCTAGTTTTATTGAAAACGGTGGTGCATTTGCGCCACTTCGCCTGTACAAGAACAACGGTGATACCGCCAAGATATCTCTTTAAATCATCCACGTTCGTGTCAATTTCACAAACGCGGAAATGTATCTTTGAGCCACTCTACACCTGACGTGTCTCACTGTTGGGCATACAATTTTAACTGCGGCGTAATTTACGTTGTAATAATTCTCTGTCCTCTTGTAATCGTGCAAATTTGGTTTCTTCCTGTATGGAAATGTGGGTCAAAAAGTAGGCTGACCATAATTCACGGGCAGTATGCAATATTCACCACACGTACTTTTCCTCCTGGCAACTCTCTACCTGTGAGCTGTTCCACCACAGGATGTGTTGAACGTGTGACCCACGCGCTTTCGGACATGACATCACCGCTGCCGGAATTTTCTTCATGTCTTTTCCGTCTGTAGAACAGATGTCCAGACTTGCTCAGTCTAACAGTCTAGTATTTTGCTTGGGACACCTTCACTATATTTTGTTGCGAAGCCACATACGGTGATAAAAAATGGAAACATCAGAAAAAATTCTAAACGAGAACATTTTGCCCATCGTCTTCTCTTTGGGGTTTTTTAATTTATTATTTATTTCATTTTCATCTAGGCATTCCTACAGGTATGTTTTTCACCTGTCAGAAGATGATGATGAGTAACGTTATAGGTACACCCCCACTAGGTGATTGACCCTTATATATGTCAAGGTCTGGAAACATGAGATTGGTTTATTGTTTCGATTCATAACAATACACCAAAATACATTGCAGCCACTTGTACAATACTGCAAGTCGCTGAATCATGCCTACTAAAAATAGGCAGACACAAAACATGAAAGAGACAATACTAGTATTACCTTACTGGGGTTTCTATATGAATTGTAACAATTGTGATCATTAAAGACTGAATTTGATGAATTTGAAAAAAATACAATGTATTGACAATACCGGTAAGTCATAATTGGGTATTTATAGATCCACTTTGAGGTTTCCTTCCATCTGGATCTGTCCTTGGCTACCTTTAATTGACCACCAGGATAATCCCATGGGTGCCAGGTTGTCTGTCACAGTTCTTCTTCTTCAACTGTCCATCTGGTTTAGGTCATCGAGCAGAATGGGCATCCAGAAAACATATACTAGTACTGATATAGTCTTGCTGCAATTTGTAAAAATGTGTTACTGTACAGTGATAATGATATAGTCACAGCATTGTCGTAGACTAAAATAGAGAAAAAACAGTTTGCACATATAATATAAGGGAGCTACTGTACATGTTTATCTATTAGAGACATTGTGGGGTGAAATAATGAATGATAATTCAAGTTAATGTAATGTGGGGCTGCTGATCATATTAATACATTTTGACTAATTGGTAGAAAGCCATTTTGGTCCTCTGTCAAGCTTGCTGCATATGCATAATTTATCGTCCAATGAAGATATGTGGTAGTTTGAACTGTAGCCAACATTTTAATGATGATCCCTTACAGGGATATACCGGTAGGCAGTGCTTGACATTACATTGTTTTTTCATGGCCCAAGTTTGGCAGCAAACTTTCCAGTTTCTCAAAAGCAGAATAATGTCTTCATATATATATACATACTTATTTTTGCATCATTCATATCAAATTACATGACTTTGTTTTTTTCTCTGTTTATTTTCTGCTGGTTCTTTGCACCCTGATGAAATGTTCCAATATGGTCAGTAGATTTCTTTTGCCAAGATACATAAGCTTAGTGACACATGAACTGAATATGATCTGTAAAGTTCATCGTAGGCCATGTCTGAATACCAAGGCAGGGCTCAAATACTGGGTGCATGTGCACCTTAGTTAGTGCACCCAAATTTGGAGCTGTGCACCCAATTTTTTTCTGTGGGTGCACCAGTGCACCCAAATATTTTTACGTTACGTATGTAAAGATATGATATTATGTATAGTAGTATACAGCATATTCTTCACATCTATGTGTCAGAATAATAATAAAATCATTGTACTTTTCTTCAGAAATGAAAGACCTTCTACTTATTTTATGTTATAATTCTATGATGCACCCCCCCCCCCCCCAAAAAAATTGTGCACCCAATTTTTGTGCACCAATGCACCTATTCCCAAAAATGAATTTCAAGCCCTGCAAGGGCTGTCTGTGACAGGTAGTTATATATTACATGTCTGCCGCCTTTCCTTTCAGACAAATGACGTCTAACACAGCTTATCTTTCATGTTTAGGGGCTAGGAGATTTACTGTAACGTAATGTACAATGTTATTATGTAGACAACATATGGTCATGAATGGTCATTAGGAATGGGAGAAATTAGTAAAATGTAGACAAAACATAGGTCACATGTATATATTTGTATGTATGCTATATTTTCATATCAATTTACTATGTTACATTGTATCACACAAAAAGTAATAACAAACGATCTATACTTGCTATTTGTATGGAAAGGGAAATCCTGTATCATACAGGAGTGGATGTCAAAGACACGGGGAGGTAAACAAAGCTGTAAATAGTGCTGCACTTCTTATCTCATGTACACAATTGTTGAACAACAGAGAAATAATGGACCATTCGGCCTGGGAAGCCTATTAAGAGAGGCAGGGGGCCAGATCTTGGCCTGACCACCCTCCTCTTGTTATTCAACTTATTGCTCAAGCGTCAGACTATGACGCAAAAGGACTTAATGAGGATTGAAGCCCAGGAAATATCATGCCATTATGTCCAGGTATAACAGGGTTTCGAACATACTTGAAACCAGTGTTGTAGACAGCCTGAAATTATTTTTCATCTCAATTTTGTTTGTCATAATATTATTTGCGCAACAATCCGAGGGGGGTCTTGGGCATGCTCTCCTGTGAAAATGTTGAAATCTTGACCCCCGGAAACATCATTTTTGTTGTATTTGAGACACAAACTTTACTGATAGAATAAGGCAAGTTTAATTGATGACATCTCTTTACACGCCAATTTTTGTCTGTCAAAAATATGACAGATTGGGCAAAATTTTCATTCATCAAAGTGGCAAATGACTGAGACGGATGCTGGACTAAGAAGACTGCTTCATAATCTCCAAGCAGAGGTTTGGGTTTTGGCGTGTTTTTGGTGTGTTTTTAGGCTTTTTTATAAGGCTTTCTTTTTTGCACTGTTTTTTTTAGTGCCGTGTTAAAAAAAAAAAAAAAGTGCAAAAAAAGAATGCCTGATAAAAAAGCCTAAAAACACGTCAAAAGTAAGCCCAAACCTCTGCTTATATCTAGTAACTGCTTCAGACATTATGTGCCTTCTGTTTTCCAGGCTGGTATGGATGAGGATGAGTCTGGAGTGATGAACTTGTTGCTGGGTGGAGAACACGAGTTCAGGCTGCGATGCCCTCCAGGTAAGTATAAGGAATATCAGAGTTGTTTTTTTTCTGAACAGTGGTGCTGTGCCTAGTGCTGTGTACCGATTCGCTGGAACTAGCTCTGCACTTGTAAAAATGTTTGATTCAAGTCCCCAAAAACCTGTACATGCTCACTACAAACTTTTTCAGTAAAGATGCCCCATTTTCCATTGGGAAGTATTAACTGAGAAGTCCATTCCATATTTTGTATATGCCCTGTATATTTTGTATACCTGATATCAGCCATGCTGCCTGGGTGGCCAATGTATTGCCTCGTTGCAATTGAATTAAAATAAAGAATAAAATAAAATAAAAAATGCCCTGGGTTTAGGTCCGGACTTGTAATAACTGAACCTAAACCTCTGGACTTGAATCCAGACCTGGACCTGAATGTGTGTTTAGGTACACAGCACTAGCTGTGCCTAATCTCCAAGCAGATCTTTTGGTTGATGCAATACAACTCAAAATTGGCAAGGCAATATCAAATTGGCAAGCGGTATCAAATTGGCAAGGCAGTATCAAATTAGCAAAGCACCGCCAATACACCACCTGAGCAACTGGCGTAAAAACAGAAACACGTCAAAAGAAGCCAAAGCCAATACCTCTGCTTGGAGAGTATGCCATGCCCTGATACTTCTGAAATACATTAGACTTAGAGGAGTTTTACCACAACTGCATGGAAACAGATCACTGTTTAGAATGTATCTTGAGGTGAGAAAACGATGATTTCTCCTTCCCTAGGCCCAATTTTCACTTCAAATTCCCACTAGATATATGGTCTAACTTCACTCCTTTGCCCTACTTTTAATTTTTTTTTTTTTTGGAAAATATATTAAGAATCATCCCAGTATTTTGAAGTGTGCTCTGGGGTATTAATTGCCCTAGTTACAGAGCTAACTTCAAAAGAAACCATGATATTTTTACAACATGCCGCAGGACATGTGACCTACTAGTATCAGAAATTTATAGAAGAAAGGCAATATCATAAAGGGTAACACGTCAGCTTGTTATTATGAGAGCTGTTGTTGAAATGGAGATTGTACTCATGAAGGTAAATGTGGTACTTGAAAAATGAAAGCCTTGCTGAGATTTTTCTTCTTCTGGTGATGATGGCACTAGGAATGGCTCTGGCAGTCACAGTGGCCAAAATAGTCTTTTTTACATTTGCTAATGGTGATAACGACCATCTTCATTTTGAATTGTTATTGATGAGACATTAGACCGAGTAGTACTTTGTGAAATGGACTAAAACATGTGACCAGGGCTCGAAATTAAAGGTGGTCCAGTGGCCACTTACCACTACAATTTAAGCTTGGACAACTAGACACTTTGCAACATTTTAGGACAAAAGAAAAATAATCAACGTCAGCCCTTCTTTTATTTATCAGGCACATGTCCCGGATTTTGGACCCAGAAAAGTCCCAAATTTCCTGTCTACTCTGCAATTATAGCGTGCCTGGGAGTCAGAACTTAAGCAAAATAAAGTTGACTTCAAGTAGAAGTCATACGATACTTCCCGAAAAAAGGTTGGGGCAGTTCATCCTCACTTCGGGACAAGTGAAATTTATTTTTGGGACAGTGCAGGGACAATAGGAATAAAGGTTAATTCCGAGGACTGTGTGACTGTTTCAGGCTATCCTCAGCATGAAGAGAACTTCTTTGTGGAGTCCCACTCTTCAGTCAGGATGTGGTGCAATGCTTTGAATGAGGTAAGCGATAAACCATAAAGCGTATAATAGAAATAGATTTTATCCCTAATCCCAAGTCTTTGTTATCTGTTCTATGACAAAACTATGAGTGCAAAATCCAGGCTGGTACAAATCATAATACGTGTATTCATTGTGGAGGACTTTATTCTAAAGATGTTTGGGATAAAATCTTGTCAAAAATCTCTCATGTTCATTCATAACTCGCGGCAAAATATACTGTTTTTTCAGTCAGAGATTTTAGACGACATTTGGAAGAAGAAAGGTATTGACATTTTGCTGTGGTTTCAGTGTTATGTATATCAACAAATCTTCAGAGAGAGATAATGAACAAAGTTTTTCAAGGCACTATGTCTTCTGACAGATTTCAAAGCAATTTTAATATTTTTACTATTCTAACAGTGTATATAAATCAGCATTCAACAATATCAAATCCTCATACTTTACATACCATGTTATCCCTGTTGATGATTCTCTCTCTATCTATCATTTAAATTTGGCCTTTTATTCACGTAACACTCAGCGTAGCAATATTCACTTTTATTAGATGCATAGTATGACAAATGTCTTTGTATTAAGATAACACAGAGGGAATAGATCTTGTGAGATGGGTCCTTAGTATAGACATAGGAAAATTGATGTTGTGTTTCCTATTTTTATTATGGTGATAAAAAGGATAGGGTTGTATTAATATACATTATTGACTTATTTTAGTACTATTATTGAGTTACAAATGCGTAATAAATGTTTTTAAAACGAGGAGTGGCCAAAAATCATGTGATTTGCAGGGGTCCACACAAAAAAGGCTTGGGTCGGCAGGTTTTTCTAGGGTCAGTCGGGAAACAGAAACATTTTTTCTTAGGCCAAAGGTGCAGGTCAAGTTAAATGCCCTTCTTTGATGTTACCTGAACTGACCTATAGTAATATTTCATGATGTATTCCTCTGTTGTTCCTACAGTATCTACTGGATGCCCCAGTGAGACTGACTCTGTCCAATGTACTGAACAAGTAAGTGTGATTATACATCATGTCTCCAATGGGAATTCATCCAAGGCTCTTCAAACCAAGCATCAAATAGCCTTTTCATACCTCTGACATTTAGTCCAAAGTTCACCAAATACATTGCGTGTGAGTTCTAAGGTTAGTGATGCTGCCTTATGGCAAGAAGTCGGTACTGAAATGTGTTGCAGTCCTCATGATGGTCTACTGTGGAGTTTTGGTCTTTTTTCTCTTCCTTTTTTGGACAGGTTTCTTCCTCTGAATCCCAATTATTCTGTTCGTAATTGGTAACATATCCCAGGCTTACTAAATAGATTCTACCTGACGCAGCCTGATTGCATCAACTCAGTAGTAGTTTAGGTAATTCCAGGGGGTATTCAAGATAAAAACCTGGACTGAATCACTGCCAATGCGCACTTTTGCATTATAGGAAACAAATTGGTTAATAGAATTGGACAAGATGTTCATTCCTTTGTTATTTTAAGAAAAATACGGAGCCTTTTAACTATATTTTTGGATAAATTGCTTCTAGATAGGTTAGAAGTCCGTTACCAGTCTTTGTGAAAGATACATTTGGTGCTTTCTTGTCTGAAAATAGCAGTGAAATCTAGATGAATGCAAAGTCGGTGTTTCTAGGCTCCATTTCTAACTGCCGCCGGTTCCCTTCAAAGCTTCATCAAATCCTCTTCCACCAGACTGGCCACAAATGGAGACTCAGCCATCGCGACCTTCATACCTACTTCTGAATGATAAGTGGGATGGGGATGCTTTTAACAAGGAGAGGTGGTCCTCTCAACGCAAAATACAGGTTATGGAAAGAAAAAGGCATGCAGAGGGAAAGCTGCATAAAATTGGAAAGAAATTTGCGGGCTGCCTGGAGATTTTCAATCCACTCCATCATAATCTTGTACTGGTATGCATCATAATTTTACCAGCAATTTGTGTGGAAAGGCTTACTTACTGAGAATTGACTGTAGACATTAGCAGTTTTGGTATCCTTTATTATGGTGCTTTACGACTGGTCCCCTAAACCACAGATGGGTGAATTTGTTGTTCATAACTATCCTATAAAAAGATCTTTCCTATCTTTAGGCCACACCAATTTGATTTGTTGGTTCTCGGATTTTTTCAGAAAAAATATGAAGCGACAGGGCGAAAAAAAATAAAAATAAAAACAGGTCTAGGCATCCTATTATAGCCCCAAATGCTACAATATGAGCCATGAAGTCAACAAAAAGGGCTGGGTTAAAATTTAAAGTATAAAATTTGAACTTTTAATCAAACAACTGCATTGATAGATGGAAAAAACTGTAACAACTAGGAAGAAAAGGAATTTCCTCAACTGTTGGGGGCAAAATATGAGCATTTTTGAGTTGATTCAGAACCAGAATTTTTTTTTTTTTGCAAATCAGAAAAAAATGAAGAGGCGAATCCGAGAACCAACAAATTAAATTGGTGTGGCCTTAATATAAAAAGATGTATGTAAGCCAATAGGGTAGGGCAAATGTTGGACTTTGTGGAATTCATGGTCATGGTGGTCTGCTGACGTCAAGGTGAATATTCAAGAAGATCATAAAATTTCATTACCTGACCGAAATTGGACTGAAACCCAATAGCCTTGGTTAGCTTATGAACCAAAATTTTGTTGGGTCTTACAATGTTAGTTTTTGGAAATTGATGTAATGGGGATGGGCCCATAGGTCATGATGTTTGTCCTCAAATTCTTTTTACACGACAAACGTTCTTTGTTCTCATTAACTGTCTATAAAATTGTATGTACCATTATATATATTTTGTATATCTATAGAATTACTAGTAATAACTCTCAGAGAGAGGGCTCTAATTTCTTGTATGTCAGAGTCTGTACAATAATTGCATATTCAGTCTTCTTACACATGTTATGTATAAAAAAGTATTTCTTGTATATTAGAGTCTGTGCAATTGCATGTTCAGTCTTCTACACATATTATGCATTAAAGAATATTTTATATCCTGGATTGTTACTCTGATGAGTCCACATCTGTCCATGTGGAGTGGAAAGTGGCCAAAATCGGCCCGACTTCATTTGTACTGAGTTGGTAAATGTCTGTCTACTCCACAGAGTTTTGTTTGATCATGTTGATCAATTTGAGACCAGTACAGCAGAAAGGAAGGTAGGGCCAGGTAGAATGCTCCCCGGCTAATTTGGAAAAGTGCAGCATTGATTTTCCCCGAGTGGTAACGAATGCCGCATGTTAAACGGCTCCTCAATGACTGGCTTCACACGTCCAGGCACGTTCTACTTTAGCGTTGTCAAATCCTGTGTGGCTGGTACAATTGGCATACATAAAAAAGATCTCCTAGACATATACAGTCAAACTGAAAAGATGGAATCCTTATTTCTTTGATTCACCAAAACCCACAATATACAGCAAAAATTTGTACACAGGGCTCGAAATGCAGGCAACATAGAATATTACTTGCACCGGACAAAATTTGTCTGCACTACTCAGAATTTAGGTACGAATATAATTATATAAGTTCGGATATAAGATATTGATGAACAGAAGCCATTGTCAATATTTCTTATACCCCATGGCATTAGGTGGTAACAGTCAGTATACGTATTAAAAATCCACATACAATGTGTATAATAAACCCATTTTATGAACCTGCAGTGCAGGTTAGGTGCAGGAAGACATCAGAAACACCTGCACAGCTCCATATATTTTTTACCTGCACTAAGGTATTTGGAGCACTGTTATAATGTCTAGCTCATTCTACAGGCTACCAAATAATTGGTGGAATGCGTCATTGCATCAAACCCCACTCCTGATCAAAGAGGCATTTAATAACTGAAGTCCTGCGTCAGTCCTTTGAACAGCTCAGTTCCACAGCAATTATGCATCTGTTAGATCTATTAGACTTGTACCTCAATGCCTTTCCAAATGTAAGTGCTTCGTAAGTTAGAATTAACATAGTAAGATGATAGAGTAAGAGATTATGGTAGAGTATTAATTGATGCAGTGTTATGATGCTTGTCTTTGAAGAATGATAATCATTGTCAGACTGCTTTAATGTGTCCACTTCTTTATGTGTACAAGCATTAATACAGACCATAGCCATCATTAGCAATAGCTATGTTATATTCATAGCTGCAGCCATATGAACAATGATGGTATTACCATGATTTGTTTTCAGATTTTGATAGGGAAAGCATACTGTCTGTATCAGGCCATATACTCCTATACTATCCATGGATTCAATAATTAAGTGGGGTACAAATTGTTACAGACTTCATCTGGTATGTGTTGGAACCCAAGTACATGTAATTCAATCCATTTTCCCTTAGCTATACATGCTTCATGTATTATTTATCCTTTGGTACAAGTATGCTCGATAATTGAAATTTTAACTCGCAACATGTACACCATATATTGCAGGCATCAGTGATACACCACATACAGTAAATAGATTCTGCATGTCTTCCTAGATCTTATGCCTATTCAGTCTAGTTAAACTTGACTATTAGCACACAGAAGCAGTTGTTTGCTTGTGGAGTTAGGCAGCAAGGAGAAGGTGAAACACTTAAAATGCCATTAACTTCAAAGCATTACTGATCCCAATGCTACATGTATACAGACTTGGAGCTGTGATGCTTCTACTAGTAAGGAAATTATAATTTGTGTAAAATCAGTAGCGTGTATTGATTACCTTTGTTAGAAGGTTTTGTGTTGGGTACCCCATATATAAGGGTTGGCGATTCTTTCGATGTTGTGATTGTGTGAATTTGGGCCTAAGCAATTTGCAACAATACGTTGCATAAAACACTTCAAAAGAAAAGAAAAACAAACACACAAAAACAAATGGCGAAGGTATGGTGACATCTTCAACGTTTGTTTATGTTTACCAAAGGAAAATATTGTTTTTGCTCTGTTTCCTCTTTTTCTTCTCCAAACCATTAAAGTCAATGACCTGAACCAGACGTCTGTCGCCATGGTAACTAGTGTTGGGTTACATCATGTTACAACTTAATAGCAGGAGGGATTTAGACTCCTGTCTGACCATATATATGAATGTGTTTGAGTAAGAATTAATAGAGCAGACCATATGCGAAGGTAAACATTATGCATTAAAACTTTTGCTCTGCAAATGTTGCCTTTCCTGTTAAGATTGTAAAATATTCTGTTGTATTTCAGGGCATCTTCCCTTCACCACTCAGATAGAAATGAGCTGTCATCATCAGATGTGGAGATGGATATGTCAGAGGTCAGCAAAAATGCCAGCTAGTTCACACTGTGGGAAAATAACCAAAGAGAAATACATGTATACCTGCAGATGCATGCTATTATTGTTGATTCTGTAGTATTGCAGCTAAAGATTCATGACAAACAAGTAACTATGACTATGAGATGCCTAGAAATAATTTGTGAACAAAAATATTCAGATCTAAGGAGGGAATTTGAAGCTGTGCTAAAGTGTATTATATAACAGTTATAACACACAAAAGGTCCAGATTGCATTGTTTATTGTCATCAGATATAATTCTTTGAAGATGGTTGGAATTTAGAAGCTGTATGTTCTTGTCCAAGTTTTTATTCATGAAGTATAGATCCTGACACACATGCTCTAGGTGACTTTTACTGCTTTGTTCATTATGTATGGGTAGGACGAAGATGAAGAGATAGAAGAAGAGCAGGAGGAGAGTCACGAGGTAGGCTGTCTTATCTTATCTTATCTCACCTCCTACTTATCATTGCTGTTATCTTATAAGTGTGTGACATCTTTCTTTCTTTTAGACTTGGAAATAATAATTCATAACAGCAGAAAATTATGTACATGTCAGTATTGCATTGTTGCAATCTTATATACCATATGACACTAATAACACAAAAATATAACCAAAATTCAGTGAACAAAAACATTTTGAGAAAACGTATACTCTTCTGGGGAATCGTTGAATGTTGTAAAACATCCTTCCAGTTCTTGTTTTCTGCCACCAGTTAATCCAATTAAATGTTACACTGTTACATTTCAATGTCATTGGTGTCACATATGAAAAAGAATGTGTATTTTGAGATGAAGTATCCTATTCAGGGCAAAGGTTTGAATTCTTGTATGGCCTTCATCCAACTGGCAATTGACATTCTAACCTTATACTGCGTTCAACTATTCAATAAAAAAGAACCAGTGAATTTACCTCGTACATTGAACCTGTATACGCACTGTACAGCAATGCAAGAATAGAGTTCTGTGTGCTACAACTGAATGGAGCTTTCAGTACAGAGGAGAAAGAAAAACTGATGTCATTATTTCAGTTCTTTACAAGGTGTCATGAACTGAAAGCACCTAATGTGCTATCTGCGCCAGTGCTGACGTTACCAACTCTATTCTGAACTGTTTCTGATCCAACCTGTTAGCTGGTGACTACTTCTTCAGGCAATGGAAACCTGTAGAAACCTTCCATGCACATATTTGGGATGCAGTGGAAGAGCCTTTCATCTGAGTCTAAGCTTGTAATGGTGGACTAATGGTGGACTCCCTCCTTCCACTGCCTGCCATAATAAATGAGATTGCCAAGTGTCTGATCCCAATTGACTTGAGCTGATAACTTTTCACCAGCAACCAATTCCATCACACCAACACCCCTGTGACACCACACCAATAAAAGCATTGTTGCCAAACAGACTACTTCCATGTGTTCAGCCTCTCTCCTGGCTGTTAAAATGAGCTTCATCCCTCCTGTTGAATACCCAGAGGTGTTCCCTTTAAAAGCCTGTGACCTTGCTGGTGTTCTGTGCTATTTGCTAAGTGGCTTATCTGGGGTTTAGAAATTGTGACCAAGTCAGACAATCTTCTTCAATTCTGACTGTACCAGAGGGAAAATTCAGATAAAGCTGTCGCCAAAAATGTCTTGACAACAACTAAACAAAACAAAACAAAATATAGGGATCCATAAATGTTATAAACAATAGTCTTTGACATGATATTTTGTATCAGTTCAGTGTAAGTACATCCTCAAATAGTTAGTTATTTAGCTTTCCACCGGTCCATTTTTATACAGAATATGTCTTAATTCAAACTAGTTCATTTTGTTTAAGAAAATTGGGACTTGAGTCTTGATTGTGTTTGCCTGTTTAGGAGACCATGCTGTCAGATGACGATTCTACATTTACAACAGAGTGGGAACTGGCTATTGCCAGGAAAAAGGTAAAACTCATTATAATACAAACTCTATTATCGGATGTTACTCAGTTGTCAGGGTAGATAACTTAATTCTGTGGAAGATTAATATTGCCAAGTTAATATAATCATCACCATCACTTATCCTTTATTCTAACAGGCCACAAAATTCACCAGTACATTTTATCTCTCTTTGGATGTGTAAGGATCTGTTTAATGGATTCATTAGATTTAGCACTCACTCTGTGTACATGTACTCAGCATTTTGTGATTTAAAAGCTGTTATTAATTAGTGACAAACTTTTCAGACCCTGTTCTATCTTTTGAGAAATCTAGATACAGTTTATACACGTAAAAAGATACTAGTAGCATCTTGATACAATATAACTTCTTATTGTCTAAGTGGTTACTTTCTGAACCTAAACTGCTACAGAAACGTTGGACTCAGAGGGAAGCTGAGATCAGAGAACAGCTGAAGAGAGCCAAGGCCACAGGTCCAACCACTACAGAACTGGGTGCAATACAAGGTGAGAACTGCCACTGATAAAGCCCTAAAGAAGGCCTGGTATCGGTAAAGGAGGACTTTGCTGTATCCATTTCTTAGCACATTTTCTGCATCATTTCATACTTCAAGCATTTGAAATAGCCAAAAAACAAGCTACATTTTTTGGTACTGCCCATAAATATCTGGAACCAGCCTACAATAGAAAAAAGCTACCATATTCTGTCAGCGACATGGAAGTTTTGCCTTGCAGATATCAGTATCCTGTGGCATAGAATTGAATCAACATACTACATTAAAAGGATGGCCAGAAAATTGGCTTTGAAAATCTCATTTAGCTGCCCTGAAATTGCATTGGATGTCTTTAAAATGCTGCAAATCTATTTTTTTCCACCTGTCACAAAATGAAGCCCCTCAAATTTGAATTTACAGTCGCAGTAATCAAATCAGTCCCTGCCACGTGCCTATTAAAAAAGTATGTATCAAATGGTTGTACCCTCAGGCCAATAAGGCCACACCAATTTAATTTCTTGGTTAACGGATTCGCCGCTTCATTTTTTTCTGATTTGCAATTAAAAATAAAAATCCAGAATCAACTGCAACATGCTCATATTTTGCCCTGATCAGTTGAAAACAGTCCTTTTCATCCTAATTGTTACAGTTATTCCATCTTTCAATGCAATGGTATCATTAAAAGTCCAAAATTCATTGTTTAAATTTTGAAACAGCCTGGTGTGTTGACTTTATGGCTCCTATCGTACCATTTTGGGCCATAATAGGATGCCTAGGCCTGTTTTTATTTTTTTCGCCCGCCCGCTCCATTATTTTTCTAGAAAAATCCGTTAACCAAGAAATTAAATTGGTGTGGCCTAACAATGAGATATAAGTTTATAACATCAGCATTTATTTATAGCAGTACAATTTGCTACAAAGCCATGTAAGTCGCAAATTTTGTTTTTTGATTTAGCACTATATACTATCTTCTTTTAGGTCTATAAAAAGCTCTATCTTAGGCAAAATCCTTTTGGAGGTGCTATTTTTAATAATGTTTAAGTACATCACAAGCGCTTTTACAAGTTCAAAAGAAATCAAGGTTTTCATTTTCATCATCTATCAGCCTGTATTGAAATGCCTTGTAATTTGCTTCAGTTTGCTGCAGGCATTCATTCTTGATCTTTTGCGACATTTCCAGACCCCTGCAGGGATGCTTTTCATCCAAGCGGATGTGTTAAAAATAGGCTATCATAATGTAGGACAAAAGATATCATCTTACATCCCCACTGAAGTCGGGTAGTTGTCATTTTGTATATTACAGTATTTATGCCAATATTTGAGGCCCAAAATGATGACTTTCTAACAGCTATCATCATTGAACAAAACATGGATTTTCAACAAACTCAATAGTTGTTGTCAAATGTAAAAGATACATGTAAACTGAAAAGTCATTTTGCAGCACAAAAAAATCAGTGGTTACTATATTTAATAGTTACTGATCAAACCTATACAATGACAGTGAATTTTGAATGTGGTTGTTGAACCTTGGCTTCGTTTTATGTAAAGTGCTTCTCCCTAGTGATAGCGTGAGCTTAAGACTTCACAAGTATCTATTCTTAGACTACCGTAATTGGGGCTGTCCTTGGTGCTGAAGTACTGGTGCTCATTAACTGTTGTACAGAAGCTGAAAGCTGTGACCTCCAAACTTCCCATAGGTTATGTTTGGTTCACAAATTGCTAGTGATAGCCGTGGACTGATGTTGTCCAAGTACAGAAAAATAACGAAGAATAAAGGTCTATCTTATACAGCCAAAGTCATCAATTCCAATGACCAAATCCATTATTCAATTCTTAGGTTTAAAAAGAAAAGCTTGGCACAGGTGAAACACATTCAAACAACTGTTTCTTATTGTTTGGAAGCCTGTGCGATAACTGTTAGAACCGTGTGAGATATGGCTAGTTATCACACGGGCCAGAACACCTGTATTGAATGTTACAGCCTTTCAGATATACCGGTAACATAAAAAAAGATTACGTAGCAAGAAGATTATTTTTTGAGTTTAACCAAGGGTAGCAGGGATTGTACGGAGCAAATACAACCATATGCTATCAATATCTCTTATATCATGGCATGGGAAGGTCTTTATATTATTTTGTGCAAATCAAAGCTGGTTCCTAAGTTTGATGATATGTTTCCCTTCCCCATCAGCTTCTGGCCAGGACAAGGAGCAAGCTAAGCAGATTTTCACCAGCAATGCAGCATTTGGCATCCTCGCTAATGACCTGGTCAAAATCCTGGAAGCAGAGAAGGTAAATGACATGTTTGCCCTCCCACCCTTATCAGTAGAGTTCCATACGTGTTCAAAGAATGTCTCATAGAACCACATAATCTAAGGATCCAGAGAAAGTTAGACTGGAAATCAAGGAAATTAAGAATTATTTTTGCCCTCTCCCATCCCTTTCAGTCGCATTCTGAAATCATTGAAGGCTAAAATGTGTGCCCTCCCCACAAGCAAGTGTCAAAAGCCTAACTGCATTATGTTATATGGATGCAAGAGTCTTATTAATTATCCTGACAGTTATATTTCTCACCCTATAGCGAGAAATATTACTGTGTGTCTTATCCTTATCATTCTGCTTATCAGTTAAAAAAAATTACAGATTAGAACATGGCTCCTTTTGATGAAGTAGAATCTGTCGTTCTGACAATAGTGGCAAAGGTAAAGTTGTCAACTGTACTACTTATCACAGTGTGTCAATGTGGTAGAATGTAAATTTGCTCTACTTTATATCCAGGAGCTTGGTTTCTCTGCTGAGCCCATAGACGACAACATTTACCAGTGGTGCGTCAAACTGTACAACTTTGCCGAGAACAGGTAGGGCTTACTGTATCTACAAGGCCATGTTGATTTGATTATATGGATGACATTCTCTGGGAACCCCAAAACTGATGTGAGGGTTCGAATAAAAAAAGCTTGGCAAAAAAAAGTTGCCTTCATTATGGAATGTAGGTGGTCATGAAGGTTAAACAAATGTCGTTGACTAAACACACAGTTAATATTTTATTTTTATGGTGAATAATAAGGTTCTTTATTTTCATTCCATTTTCTTATCTTTTGGAATGGATTTTGCTACTCTGCGATATAAGTATCGTTTTCCAATATTTTTTTTTCAATCTACGGCATATATTTGATCATTTCGCAGCTACTTTGTACAATTAACGGTATGGTTGAAAACTTTTTTTTTTAATCAGACAAAAATTCATGTGCGCGTGGATGTCATCCATATAATCAAATCAACACGGCCTAACGTGTTGTGTCTTTGAAAACTCGTCACGTAATGGGAGGACCATCCCAGTTCATATTGCATGAAGTGCGTCATCAAAAGTAATAAAGGAATGTGCATTATCTGTGACAATTTGATTCATTAATCTTGTATGAAATGAAATTTTCTTCGACATTCTCACCAACTTGGTCAATGGTCGTGTTATGCAATCTCACTAACTTGGTCAATGGTCATCTTATGTAAGCTTTGGTAATATGACACTCGTGACAGCTTGCTTTCAATGTTTTTTTTAGTGCTCATTTGAAATGCTCATCTTAATTGTGATTCTGCTCGAAGGCATAACTGCTGGTGAATCAGTAGGAATATTGAATACCAAAGGCGTATGCCTTGACAATTTAATCAGACCATATCTCAGTATTTGTTCCCTTGACAGATACCGCCAGAGACAAGCAGGGAATTGATAATTAGGAGAAAATTTCACCAAGATGAGTGTTAATGGAAAAATGATGATGTGTAAAATTGACATTTGAAAGCTGTTTTAAGCACAAAAAATATCTTTTTCAGCTTCCCCATATTATCTGTGCTGCTCTGTCTGTGACCTTTGCTAAGCCTGACATTCAAGTGAATCAGGCTGGAAAATAATTTGTGAAAAATCAGCCTTTCATTGACATGATTATCTTTCATCACAGAAAGGGATGTGAATTAGCAGCTTATTCTTAACATGATGTATTTTGTCATGCGTCACACAACAAAAGAAGCGGCTATGTTAAATGATCAGTTTTTTGCACTGGGTAACGCAGAGCAATTTCATTCCATTAATCACTTAGGCAACCCCTGGAGTCTCTCCAGAAATGCTGCTAAGTCTGGTGCCCTTGAATGTCAAGGTTTCTGTTATTGTGTGCAGTTGAAGGTCCAGTCATGATACATGTACTAAGTTTTTTTTTATTTGCAAAGATATCATGTTATATTGTAGGAAGATATATGCCTTTTTGGATGCAATTAGTTTGATTCTTGAACTGTTGTTCAAATTTTCGGGTCATTAATTATCCTGATGAAGGCGACAGTGGTCGCTGAAAAAATTTGATCCCTGTGTAATTGTGTGTAATAAAGTTCAACGTTTTACTATGATTACTACCAACACAGATGAACTTCCATGATAACTGTTGTCCTTGTTTCTTCTCAAATCTATGACCTACAATATAATCATTGCAGGGAACCCTACACATGTACATCATGCATTCCAAAGTATATAATGTTATATATACTGAAGGAAGTAGAAAATGTGCCAAAAAATCTTCCTCTTCTATCAGGCTGCTACTTGAGTATTAAAAAAGATGCATAAATTTTCATTCCCTAACATGTGATCCAGCCATCAAACGTGTCTGACATGTATAATGATGATACAACCTAGATGTGCTCATGATACATGTATACATGTGTGAGGCTGATGCTTTATCATTCTGCTGTTTCCAGTACAATATCACGAGACCTCGCTGTGATTCAGGACAGGTTTGGCTACAGCTACATTCAGCTTCAGTTGGTAAGTCCTTTGAAATTATAACTGTACACTTAGTAACTGGCACTGGACTGTTTTTTTCTGTCTTTATTTCTATGCCTATGAGAACCACACATGAGTTTAAGCATTTTAAACATTTTTTTGTAATAACCGTCAAGAATTCTTCATGGATTCAGCAAGTTTTCCAGTGATGTTGACAGCATGATAGGCTTCTTGCTATGTAAAATGGCGCCGGCAGGGTCACTTTGCATCAATTTGGTAGTCTATTGTAAAATGGGTGGAAATTTGGTGCATTTTTCTTGCTCTCTGTCTTGTCTTGTCGTCATGCTTTTTGTATAAAAAGACCACTTGTCAAAGAAGACCACTTTTCCTTGGTCCCCTGGGTGGTCGCCTCGGACAAGTTTGACTGTACTTCTAATCTTCTAATTTTTAAACTGAAATATGTGCACAGGACTTTGCCATCGACCTGTATCCATTCTACCCACCACTCGTGAAAGTCATCAGACCAAGACTACAGGTCAGTAACAACCACCAATATTCACATTATACATCTGATAACAAGCTATAAAATATTGTTGTATATTCGCCCCAAAGCATAATTAAATATATGTAACCTACATCCATGTATTTCTAGAGTTTTTATAAAGCTTTGTGAGCTACCTGACCTACATATTCCAGCATTTATACAAATGTCAAAAGCGTCATTATGTTTAAGGCCATGTTAAGTAAACTGAGTTATGTAAAACATGCCCCCCTCCCTCCAGGATGCCATGATGCAGAGAGTCACCAATATGGAAATGTTGAAACTCTCTTACTGGTGAGTCACTCAACACAAGTTTGACCTAAATGCATCATTTTTATATGCTTTAAGCATTGTCATCATTCATGGAAAACCTATTTTCAAGCCGTTATCTCTTCTTTGTAAATCTTGAAGTTGTTTCAAAATTCATGTCATATTGTGAAAGAAAACTTGATCACCTCTGTAGAGCTGTGTAACTACAGAAGATACTGAAGCGTAGATGATATATTAGATAAAATCAGTTATATAACTAAAAGGATTTACCCGACAAAACACTGCCTTCTACTACCTTCCTCTCTGGGAGATACATGTAATAGTTATCAGTAAGCAAATCCCTTTGGCTGTTCAACAAAGAACTGTAACTGTTCTCATATCCAATTGATGTACCCATTTTTAGCTGCTATTTCATCTTTAAGCTGCTATTTCTTTCTAAATCATGAAGCAGTTTCAAAATTCATATCATATTGTGAAGCAAAACTTGATCACCTCTAAAGAACTGTGTAACTACAAAAAATACTAACACATAGATGATGTATATACTAGATAAAATCAGTTACATAGCTAAAAGGATTTGCCTGACAACACTCTTGAGGCAGTAATGGCTGTTAGCAAGCAACTTCTTTCATCCTTTTGGCTGCTCAATAAAGAACTGTAACTTTTATCATATTTATTTGATGTACCCACCAGTAAAAAATATTTTGTTCTGCAGGGATCCTGCCAAAGACATGAAGACTGTACTGTTGGAAATGAAGGACATGTTGCAGAGATGGGCCAGGTATCTGTCTCTGTTCTTTGTTGTGTTGTACATGTATAACTGATTTAACCAAGTAGACTACAGAATCTGTCTAAAGGCAGTCTCCAGAGCAGAAACAATTGATCTGGTTCTGTAGATACTATTTCTATTAATCCCAAAAAGTAATTATGTTGACAATTATATTGAGTTTGGACAAGGTAGAAGTTACATTATGCGGCATCAATATTCTGGTAACCAACTCCAAGTCAGTACCCTCCAGATCAGTTACAGCCAGGTGAACAAACTTCAAAGCAGGAACTGCCTTGGGTTTATCTTGAAAATTATTTTTGCAATGTGTTTCTGGATTGTTTATCAATTCATAACCTTAGCAACTTTCCATTTAGTTTGATCAAAAAGTGACGTTGATCTCTGGCATGGCAGCTATCTCATTGAAAGACGTACTTAAGATTCAATAATGGAGCCCTCAAAAAAAGGGAATCTAGGGGTAATCTTGAAAATAAAATTTGGTTGATTTTGGTCTAGAAAATAACACTTGCCTCTGATCTTATGTCTGCCATTAAGCCTCCATGACACATGTTAGGAGGGATGATATGAAACTGTACTTTGCTCAGCTCACAATCACTGTTACAGTAACTTGTCTAACCTTTGGCACCCTGAAGTTCAAGCCACTTGCCTAACACTTTTCTCTAGCTTATGGGGTTAGCACAGAGTGCAGAGTCTGTAAAAGGGACCATTTCAGGGAACTTAATGCATCAGTTGCCAATCATTTTAATGTCAGTTGAAGGCCGAATGTTAGGACTCTGACCTTATGCAACTGTGAGCAGGTCTTCAATCTGTAGTTACAAGTAAGAATTGACGTTACTCTCTACCCTCTGACTGTTGAAGAGCCAAATGTTTAGGTCCCTACAGAATAAATAGCTCATGTACTGCTGCTTTATCTGTAAGTAAAAGGATGATAATGGGTTATGCAATAAGGTTGAATGCCCAGTTTAGGCCTGTTAATGATAGCCTGCCTCCTTAATGCCTGTAGGATTGATGTGGATAGCCCCAGGAATGACTCGGTGAGGTACCCCAACGGCTCGTATGTCGACATTGAGCACCACCTACTCAGACTGGCTCTGGTAAGTACCCATCTATACACACCAAATAAGGAAACTGGGTTAATGCCCTCTTCTAGGAAACAAGCTGTACTGTTAGCTTTAATCCAGTTCATTTCATTCTTTGCTTAGCTCACTACAATACTTCTGAATTAGATAGAACATGTACAATCAATTTTTACTGATGCTCTTGTGATTTCTTTGACAAGACGCTGGGTGCTTTCAAACAAGCTGTCAATATCATTAGACTGAAACAGGAAGAAGACTAAAAGTACATGCACCCTGTACTGAGTACTTCACACATTACTTGAAGGCTCGTGCAATTATCGTAAGGAGCAATTATCCTAAGTGTTCGTTGCTAGACTGGCGCTTAATTAACCCAAATTTACTACAGATAAAAGTGTAAAAGTCCTCATAGATCCTAAAAGCCAGTAACACTTAAGGCCCAGTCTCACATTCAAAACCTACCAACCACCAACCAACCAACCAAGGTTGGCTGGCGTTCGCAAGCAGTCTGATCAGATTTAGGCCACGCCTATCTTTTACACAATAGAATTAAATTTGAGTGAAATTTCACTCCCAAACACTGCTGATCTACTCTAAAACACCAACCAACCAGAAACTATGGCCAAACCTCCCATCCACACCTGTTTTAAAAATTTTGAAACATTCAGTAGCCAACCTCCACCAAACACCAGCCAACCATCTGTGAGGAAATGTTCTCACACCTGTGAGGAAATGTTCTCATTCCTGTGAGGAAATGTTCTCACACCTGTGAGGAAATGTTCCCCTTTGAGGAAATGTTCTCGCATCTGTGAGGAATTGTTCTCACTCCTTTGAGGAAATGTTCTCACACCTGTGAGGAAATGTTCTCACACCTGTGAGGAAATGTTCTCGCATCTGTGAGGAAATGTTCTCACTCCTGTGAGGAAATGTTTTCATTCCTGTGAGGAAATGTTCTCATTCCTGTGAGGAAATGTTTTCACTCCTGTGAGGAAATGTTCTCGCATCTGTGAGGAAATGTTCTCCTGTGAGGAAATGTTCTCGCATCTGTGAGGAAATGTTCTCACTCCTGTGAGGAAATGTTCTCATTCCTGTGAGGAAATGTTCTCCTGTGAGGAAATGTTTTCGCATCTGTGAGGAAATGTTCTCACTCCTGTGAGGAAATGTTTTCGCATCTGTGAGGAAATGTTCTCACTCCTGTGAGGAAATGTTTTCGCATCTGTGAGGAAATGTTCTTACACCTGTGAGGAAAAGTTCTCATTCTTGTAAGGAAATGTTCTCATTTCTGTGAGGAAATGTTCTCATTCTTGTGAGGAAATGTTCTCAACCCTGTGAGGAAATGTTCTCGCATCTGTGAGGAAATGTTGTCCTGTGAGGAAATGTTCTCGCATCTGTGAGGAAATGTCCTGTGAGGAAATGTTCTCGCATCTGTGAGGAAATGTTCTCACACCTGTGAGGAAATGTTCTCACTCCTGTGAGGAAATGTTCTCATTCCTGTGAGGAAATGTTCTCATTCCTGTGAACAAGTTTTCTCATACCTGAGAATCAGTTTGACACCTGCCTGTGTCCCACAGGTGAGTGAAGTCAACCCACGTGCTAACACCAGGTATGCCATAGAGATCACCAAGCCAGCATCTAAAGCCATCAGGCAGTCATCAGTAAGTACATGGCACTCTGCCCTTGGTCTGGTCAACATATACTTGTATTTCATGATCATGTGTGTGTTGAGACAACTGTCATCGTTACAGACTGTATAACTGTAGTGTTAATGCCAATGTCTGTAATGTGACCTGGTTTGAATTTTTTGTGGTAATATATGTTCATGTACATGGTCTGCTACAGTAACTGTTGATGCCAATAACAAAAGTCTTGATGAATTGTTTTGATGAATGACGCAGAGATCTTGTCACTGAATTGTTGGGTTACTGAACATGGCTGCATCATAGTTGTAGAATTTAAGCTTTGTTCCAACTCAGTAGAAATACTGAGCTTATATTTTACAAGTATGGATTCTACCAACACAGATGAGCTTTCATTCTAGTGGCTGCATCATAACTTGGTTATTACAAGAAAGAATGGCCCTTTGACATTGAACATTTTTTCCTGTTTTTTCCTCCCTGCTTAACTGAAGAAACTGAAGTCACTACTGGTATGACAAACTAGTTCATAATGATTATCTTGTGGTGTCTTCTTCCCCTTAATTTCAATCTTTAGTTAGCATGATTATTTCTAGTTTTGAAAAAGTGATATTGGTACATATGTTTGCCTCCAATATTCTGCATTACAACTACATGTAGAATTAGAAAACTCTTAGAAGATGGAGGTAAGCATAAAAAAGTGGCATACATTGTACATTGCCAAGTTAAAAGTTCTACACATGTACCTATCTCACATTCATGTGATACATGTACCTATCCCACATTCATGTGATACAAATCTTTTACAAAATCACAGTAGTTTAATGTATTAGTCCACAAAAAATGATAAAAATCCACAACTTATGGAGCCATTCTATTTACAAAGTAAGGAACCAGCCAACCTGAAAATCAACCAACAAACTACTAGTAACAAAAAACACTGGTAGAAACCCAACCTTATTATCAGAGTGATATCTCCCACTCTGGTATAAAACAAATTTTGTAGTTTTAGTAGACCCCAGGCTTTCCAAAGACAAACATAAATTTAGTACAAAAATGATAGCATTGACTAATCTCTTTAATATAGCATGAATTTCTAACATATTGTCGAGAAAAACATGATAAAGGAGTATTTTATTTAATCCTTATTACTTATCCTTCCTTTCATGCTTCCAGGGCTTTGGAGTCCCGGTAGGTATATTATAAGTTGTTGGTGTGCCGTGAAGTTATTGTTGTTATGTTGAGGTCATGCAAAGATCTTTGACAAAAATGTGGCATTTTGCATTACTGTTTGAGCATGATCATTGATGCTGTCCAGTTTATTTTGTAAGACGTACATTGCTATGTCTTGGAAAAGTATAAGTACAGAAATAGTTTTACTTGTTTGCTGTTCTGATATTGACTCCACTAGCCAGTTTAAAACTATCGTATACCGCTGATAATTATTTTATGTCGTATCTGAGCTGCAGTAACATTCAATACAAGTGTTCTGTCACATGTGATAACTAGGGGTATCACACAGGGTTCTAACGGTTATCACATGGGCTTCCACAAGTTCCATACTAGAATATTTTGAACATGTTTTGCATGCCCTGAACGTGCCGCTTTTGAAAATCCAAACACCGGATTCGGACATTGGAATTGATGTTGTTACAATTTTCATTTAGCAACACCAAATTTTGGCACATTTCGCACTGAAATGTATGTTTTCTCAGGTGGGCATGACATAAATAAAATACAACACAGTGTATTCCACATCACCCTCTTTCCCAGCCCTCCCACAGGTCAGGATAGAACCTCAGGTGATACGGTATACACCGCTTATATTCTATATATATCAACTCTCCTGATCTTTGTGTGTACATCAGGCTACCTCTGGGAAGAAGGAGAAGCAGTACTGGAAACCAGGGACCGGGTACGGCCATGGCAACGTGTCCAGACCTGGGCAGATGGGTTAGCAATCCAATTGTCTTCTCTCAATAAAAATAACATAGCATGGGAAGGTGCTGAAGCAAGAACCAGTGTTCAAGATACTCTTTTTTTCTCTCACGTTGCCCTTTAGGCAACCTAAGCTGAAAGCTACATGTAGGTTGTCCATCAATATCTCAGATTGCTGTCAATACTGACTTAGAACTTATAGAAGGCAAGCCATAAGCCAGACAATCTGTAAAGGTAGTGCTCACAAGCTTGCTGATCATGAGGCAGGACACAGTTTATGTGAGAAGCCATAACTTTGCACTGGGTACCCAGGCATCTCCAATAAGTCTCACACAGAAACCATGACTTACACTGCAAGATCTAGAGTGGGTATTTTGAACCCTGTGAACTCGAGCTTTCAGAAATACACAGGTTATTTGTTATGCATGGTGTTATGATCATAACAGATAAACTTCATAAAGTGGGGAAGTAGTGCTCTTGAAGTTCTCAAGGTATTAAAGGGGTTCACTCACTGCCATCTCATTGAAGATTTTGTATGGCAGTTTTCTTTTTCACAAAAATTAATATGCATACCATACATTTCTCTTCTGAAACAGTTCCTGGCAATGCTATATTTTTGCTTCTAACTCAGTTCCTGATATATGTTTATGTAGCAGGTGTACAGCTCTGTCCTAACAACTGTTTTTTTTCTTCAGCAGGCTGGGATGTCAATGCCTACATCGCAGCCCAGAAAGAGAAAGACAAACAGGTAAGGCTCTTGTCAGGAGCTGTCAGGCACAATGTCAGTCATAAAACGTGTATTATATGTAGACAAATCTCAAGGGTCTAGACTGTGACCTGTTTTTCAGACACCCATTGATTAAGTGCAAGATCATAATGAAGCACAATGACCCTGTACATAGATCCTTTTTTTTCATACAGATGCACAACCATACATTGATACTGTACTAAAATAGGTCCAGTGTTCCAAGGGAAATCTACTGAACAGGGGCATGAAAAGACTCAAGGCAGTTCATTCCCTAGTGTTAGTGACTGTGTGGTAGTTGTGACCATGAATTAATCAGAATTCTTGACTATTTTCTCCAGATTGAAGCAGTGTTGGAAAAGATTCACCAGGAGTTGAGGAAACTTTTTGTGGAGCACTGTCCTTACATCCACTCCACCAAGAGCACCGCTGTCCCAGCCATTCCACTGAGAGAAGGCCCAGGGGTCGTCGACCTCAACAGCACCTGCAGCAGCTCCACAGGGAGCGTGAAGACTGAATGTAACAGCTTTCCCAACGAGTCGGCCATCGCCACCGCATCTTCCTCGTCCGCGTCGAGCGCAAACGCCAGCCCCAAGTCCTGCAAACCGTTCTGCCCTATTTCCATGGTGTGTAAGCCGTCGTGTAGCCAGTCCATCTGTGAACAGTTGTGCACGGTGACGGACCCCTGCTGTTCCAGCTCCCCCGCGGGGGGGACACCGGTAAGAAGAAGTGCACCAGGAGCGACGCCGTAACAAAAAGTTGCAATGCTGCGGGAGAGGCGAGCACGTCCCAGCTGCACAGAAACATTGGCGCTGCCGCCGCGGACTCCTCTACAAGTGCCAGTACCCCATGCACGCCCTCCACTTCGGCAGAGACTTGTAAGGTCAAACAGGACTACATGGCCAGTTCCAGCGGGGTGTCCAGTGGCACGGACGTCTCTCTACAGAACTATGAAGACAGACTGCTGGCCTGGGGAAACCTGCTGGTGGAAAACGGAGCGATTGACCCCATAACGGACATGTTTGTTATCCTGGAGGGATCAGCCCTGGTGCCTTTTATAGAGGTAAACACGTCCATCTTACACACATATCAATTGTCATTGCAGCCATTGCTAGTTTTATTTTATGTGTATCTCGCTTGTTAACATATAGCTGCTACTATCGTTTTAGATGAAAAAGGCAGTGCACCTGCATGCACTGGTACTTGCAGGTTGGCATCTACACTACAATGTCATTTGTAACATATTTCCCAAAGCTTGTATTTATGATGTCACATGCTATTTTACTACTACTAGTAATAAATTACTTACAGTTTACTATTGATCTAACGATACCTATGATCTTTGCAGCTTTGTTTGACATGTGAATCTGTTTGACCCCTTTTCTCTTGCACAGACCCATTTAAAAGCAGACTCTTTCCTGGAGATTGGGAGACATGTGGCGGTATGTTAGACATTCTTTTCACAGCAGTAATTGGAAAACTCTGTAAAACTGAGGTACAACTGTAAGAAAAGAATCTCACAGACAGATCATTAGTTATGAGGATTGCTCAGACCCATGTACACAAGGACAGGGGTAACAGAATATCTATGATGTCATCCAGGGACAGGAGAAACAGTGTATTATCTAAAATGTCATTCAGCACCAAGGACAGGGGCAACTGTGTATCTAGAATGTCATTCAGCACCAAGGACAGGGACAACTGTGTATCTAGAATATCATTCAGCACCAAGGACAGGGGCCACCTTAGTCCTAGAATGTCATTCAGCACCAAGGACAGGGGCAACTGTGTATCTAGAATGTCATTCAGCACCAAGGACAGGGACAACTGTGTATCTAGAATATCATTCAGCACCAAGGACAGGGGCAAGTGTATATCTAGAATGTCATTCAGCACCAGGGATAAGGGGAACTGTAGCCCTAGAATTGCCATTCAGAGAGAGGAGCAACAGTATATTATAAGTATGTTTTTCTCCACCAGGATAGGGAAAAATAGGTCTCTATTGTCAATCAGGTAGTGAAAGGTCTTGAAAAGTCACCATGCATAGCAGGTCTTATGATGAAACAGAAATGAAAACTGCAGAAGCAGCAGTGATCTCTGTTCATGACAGCATCCGTCCTTATCCTGAAGGCCTGCTATGCTTAGGACCAGACCAAGGAAGAATAAAAAAACACCACCAGATTGTTTTCATAACAACAATCACACAAGAAACTCTAGAGGCAAACAGAATTTGAAAGAAGGGGTTTTGAGTGCAGATGTCGCCTTGCTTACATGTATTAACCAAAGGTTGCCTTTTATTTTTTATAAACAGGTCTACAAGGGTATAGTTGACATCATCAGAGAAATAGGTGAGAAAGCATAGTATTATATGTTTTGGTTGGGTATATTTTGCCCATATACTTTGAAATTGAAACTCTTTACTGAAGTGTTACACTATATGGTAAAACTTGGGGCCTTTTCACATCTAATGTCCATTTATATAAAACTGGAGGCTTTTTCACACCTGTGTTGACCAACTTATGTATGAAGACAGCATTTTTGGCTGTTCCCTTCAGCGTGCATCCCCCAGCTGGTGAAGCTGCTGTGTGCCTTACCAGATCAGGACAAGTCAGTCTACATGCTGTTGGAGGGGCTGGAACAGAAGGTGGAAATATTCTCTTATTGTTTATTTTCTTCCACCTTTATTTTCCACTTCTCAGCCTAAGGCCACACCAATTTAATTTCTTGGTTAACGAAAAAAAAAAATAAAATTAAAACAGCCCTAGGCATCCAATTATGGCCCAAAGTGGTATGATATGAGCCATGAAGTCAACACACCAGGCTGGTTCAAAATTTTGACAATGAATTTTGATTTTTTAATGATATCACTGCATTGAAAGATGGAATGACTTTAACAAGAAGTATGTAAAGGACTGTTTTCAATTGTTCACGGCAAAATACGAGCATTTTGCAGTTGATTCTCAATTTTTATTTTTATTTGCAAATCAGAAAAAATGAAGCGGCGAATCCGTTAACCAACAAACTAAATTGGTGTGGCCTAAAGCCACTTTTTAAAAGTTACCATCTTTGGCCAAATGCCACTTTTCAAGAGTTTTTAAGGGTCATATATTAAATATAATAAATAAATATATTAAATATAATAAAATAAATATATTAAAATCAAAAACTGTTTTCTGCCACACACTTGAAAATGATGTGGTTATCATAGGCAGATATTGCCATGTGCGGTACCAAATAGTGTCTTAATGCTTACGTCTATGGGGTAAAAAAAATCAGGACTGAGAAAAAACTGTCGTTATGGCCAGATGGCCAGCTAACAGAGGCAAAACTTGGGCAAGTTTGACTGTAGTTAAAAGGTAACTGACATCCTAACAGTGTACACCTTCCCCTGTGTGTTGTCCCCAGGCCAGGACCATGCTGCAGCACATGCACAAGGCAGCTAACGGCAGCATCCCCAAGAAGCCGGAGAAGGTGGAACCAGAGCCCATGCAGCCCTTTAAGTATGTGCCCCTGCCTATAGGGGAGTTCTACCCCTGGGACAACCAGTATATGATAGCCATAGAACAAAGCAAGCCACTGGACATCTCGCACATGTCCTCTGTGGTGGAAAAGACAGCCGAGGAAAAGCTAGCTAGGTGAGGTGGTGGGTGTACCTAACCGTGCCGTCCATGGAAGCCTGTTACCCCATCCCACTTCTGTTCACCTTTTGACTCAATGTCATTCTTTTGGTAAAGAGTCTTTTTTTCATCATCGCTATCCCTGTTTTAATAAAGGAAGAGAAAATGTAGGTAGATCTGTAGTTTTTTTCATGCCTATATCCATGCATGCTCTCATTTACAATAGGTTAGCATTTTTGAAATCATATCATCCCCACACTGTGATTAACATGTAGACAGCCCCATGTACCCATGTGTCTTTAGTAGCATAATATCAATATTCTGTGTACAGTTTTTCATTCTGAATACTGGAAATGTAGTGCTGCATTGAGTTAGGGTAGATAGATTTACTATTGAAATACTGGTCCAGGAACAACGAACAAATATTCACTATCAATTAGGGATAGGCATAGGCTAAAAAAAGAAGAAAGTGATATCCACTTCTTAGCTCACTGAAGAGCTTCCACTTTACTGGTATGCTACAAATGTATGTACAGTATTTACAGATTCACTTTAAATTCATCTAGCTCTTTTCGACAAGCACAAACAGTGGACCGCAGCTTAACGTTCCATCCTAAAGTCTGCTTATCGTGCATGTGGGGTGAGCAACAGCAGCCAGGATTCAAACTCCCTATCTCTTGGTCCAGGGACAGGGTCACTAACCACTAGACTATGCTCACTATCTTTTCCATTACCAAATCCACAGCAGCTGGATACTATCATGATCAGATAAATTGTAATAGAAATAATGGCTACCACCAAACAAACAGTGTTTGATCGTTCTTCCTTGTAGTGAGTTCATCAACTTGTACAGACAGATGACACTCTTGCAATGCAAAAGAAAACAATTTCTTACCATTACTACTGGCAGTTCACTATTGGTTAAAGATAGGCTAGAAAAATCCACAGCAGCTGGATACTATCATTATTGGATAAAGTACTCAGACTACAAACAAGCAAACAAACAGGGTTTGATGGTTCTTCCTTTATCAATTTGTACAAACAGTCTTGCACTGCAAAAGAGAATGGTAGTTTCTTTCCAAACTTCCAGTTTCATTTCTTACTGTTAGTTACTAGTACTACTGGCAGTTCACTATTGATTAAAGATAGGCTAAAGATTGGATAACAGTGTTTAATCGTTCCTCCTTGCAGGGAGTTCATCATCCTGTACCGTCAGGTGGCTGACGCGGTCCGGAGGCACGGGGAGGCGCAGCAGGCGCGGGACGCTGCAGCCGCGGCGCAGGCCTCGGCACAGGAGGCGCAGGTGGAATGTACACCTGACATCACCGCAGCAGCCTCCTGTAGTACTTCTGCAGTAGCCAAGTCTCCCGAGAAAATTACAGTAGGTTTCAGTAAAGGTTATTTAGATTGTACCTAATAGTATATGATACTATTAAGACTCTGTGTGATCTACCCAGCTTCAAGAAAGCTTTTATCCAAACAGTGTCACCTGGACCCTCAACTTCTACCTTTTAGTTTTTTAATGTTGATTTGTATGTTTATTGTTGATTTTGTGATGTAGTTAACTTGCACTCCAGTTTTGATCAAAAACTCTTGCAGAAAGGAAAGTTTATAATTGTATTCAAGATAACCTACAAGAACTTGATTGCTCAACAATTGTATAATATACAACTTACAACAACTTCTGCTCCCAATCAGCAAGTCTAGGAATCTCATCTAGTCCAGGCACCCCAAAGACTGTGTTATGGGATGAAATGGTATACTTGTACAGGAATTTCTATCCATGTATGTTAAACACCTGAAGTTGTCATCCTGGAAAAATTTTACTTTATATGTGAAACGATTCATGTTTTTAACATATGCAGACATCCATGGAGGAGACATACAAGAAAGACCTCAAAGAAATGCAGTTTGACAACTTTGAGTTTCCATGTAAGTCTGATACTTCGTTTTGAATTTGACTAAAGACTGGGCTTATGTATACAGTTGCACAATATAATAATGTATCATGAGCTTTTGCTAATGGAGAAGAGATATTTTGTAATTATTTTTTGTTAGCGGTGATGTGCAGTAAAGAATTACATCCCCTCTTGTTTCATTTGGCCAGTCTTTTCCCTCCTGACATCTGCTTGGTTTTCATGATAATGTATTCAACACACAACCATGGAACGAAAAAACATGATACTCAGCACAAAGCCAAGGGCTTCAGTTTAAATCTGAACTGTGCCCTGGAAATGGAACCCAATGCAGTTCCACACATAACTGCCTGGAGCGTAAGTCTTCAACTTAAGTGTAAACTTCTTTCATAACTCTAACCCTTGTATGATTGTTTTTCAGTGGAAGGGTCATCAGCTCACCACTACTCAACCCTCTATAACAAGTTCACCAAACCTATTCATGCTCAGGTAAGTCATGTTATGTCACAGGAAAAGCCACGAGCAAACTCCAAGTCAAGCCTCTGAAAAATGTTCCAATATGGGGGCCAGGCAACATTAGGTTTATCTACTGAAAACAGGACGTTCCTCCTATTATAGTAATAGTGTGAACTACTGTTGGTCAGTAATGGCTAATGCATCATACACTAGATGACTTGCCGTGGTATGATTGTATAGACAGAAAATGTTCTACAGGATGCAGTATTGGGTTAGAGATTTACAGTATTAACTTAAGTTTGATATAATTTTTGTCAGTACACCATTAGATAGAAAATTAGCATAAGTGTTACCAAATACTGGTGATTTAGATATACTTGGTGCTCTACATGTCAATAGTAACTGTTCTTCTAGAGAAAGTGTTTTCTGTCTGTTACAGATTGTAAGAATAGCCCAGGAGTTTTCGTCACTGTCATCATCCCTACCACTAGAACTATCATCGTCCATCTTTGTCCGAGTGGTGAGTATAAGATATTCTGTAGCCATTGCTAGAAGGAGTGTACATATGTATGTCTTTTAAGAAAAGGAGAACTGAACTTAGCACAACATTATGGAAGATACATTGTCATCATTTATTTTTTTCATGAATCACGAACAGAAACATCATAAATTTAGCGGTTCTCTGGACAATTATACAAATATTTATCTAGGATAATGAAATGTTATATATGACCAGTTATTTTTCTTTTCAGGATGACGAGAAAATGAACCTAATGCAAGCCCTGATCACAGGGTAAGTTAAACTTTGTCCAAAGAAATATTTTTTTCATTTTACCTGCTTGCTCCACCAGTTGCTTCCTAAAATCCAAGAACTAATGAATTAAATTGGTGTGGCATGCTCTATTTTGTTTCCAGGCCAGAGGGAACACCATACAGTGGTGGGTGCTACCAGTTCGACATCTTCTTTCCACCAAACTACCCCAAAGTTCCACCACAGGTAAACCTTCAGGTAAGGGCAAACAATCATTTTACAACTTACATATAGCTAAAGAATTTTCTTCTACTGGAAATGCTTGTGTTAAGTTGTTGTTTGAAACTATGATCATGATTATCAACTGATAGCTTCTTTAAAAAAATGTTATTCCATTTATGGATCATGAGTGTAATAGTCACCACACTATCAGTATGTGACAATCACATGTACATACCAATGTGATGTACATAATGTCATTGTATGTTTTACAGACAACAGGTGGTGGGACAGTGAGATTCAACCCTAACTTATACAGGTAATATCTTCAACTTTTAAGAAAGATTTACAAAATAATTATGTTAATTTCTCCTTTACAAAGAGCGTCATATATTGTTTTTAATTTGTAAGGGTTGTATTATGTATCATTAGGACAATACGAAAACTGAATTTTCTGGTTATTTCTGTTCAAAGTAATTCTGTTGTTAAATAACTAAATGTATTCCAATTTTTGCTGAATGAAATGTTACGTAATACCGGTCCCTTTAATTTTGATGTGTTAGGAAAAAGTTGAATGAAGAGTTTGACATTAAATGATTGATGTGTTTTCCTCTATCCCCAGCTGTGGTAAGGTTTGCCTGTCCCTACTGGGTACATGGGAGGGGCAGCAGGGAGAGCAGTGGAACGAGACATCCTCGGTTCTACAGGTAAGTTTTCCTTGTAGACTATGCTTAGTTTAGTGACATCTCTTTTCAAATCTTTATATATGGAAAGATGGATGCTGGCTAGAGCAATGGTCAGGGCTAAACTACCATTTTCCTGTGATTTTTTTTCTTTTTTCCGCAATTGAACTACTGTCACCTTCAAGTTGTAAGCATCTGATTTCAGAACATTAAAATGCGATACCCTTCAGTAAGTGAAAACTCAGACTGAGATAGTTTGATGGCAACATTACACGGCTGTACCCAATTTTGTTCTCTTTACCAAGTGATCAAGATATGCCAAAAAACAGTTACTCAAGCAACTGGATATGATTTTGGAAATGGTCAGACGTTTCAGGTAGCATCCACTACCTTTCTTCAGTAACTACTAGTGGATGCTACCTGAAACGTCTGACCATTTTCAAAATCATATCCAGTTGCTTGAGTAACTGTTTTTTGGCGTATCTTATTACCAGGATGTCTAACCTTCACGGACATATCAAGTGACCAAGAGTTGTAATAATTGCTCCACAGGTGCTGGTGTCCATCCAGTCCCTGATCCTGGTTCCAGAACCGTTCTTCAATGAGCCAGGCTACGAGCAGGAGATAGGTACAGACACAGGGAAGAGGCACAGCAGGGAATACAACGCAGGTACAGTGTATCTATATCGGTATAGCTGGTATAACCGCCCTTCAGCGTAACACATTAGCTTTGAAGGCATGTGGTGCAGCAGGAGCTGGCTACAATACACCAAATGACTTGTTACACCTAACCCTTGAAGCTCTAACTCTAAGCAATGTTTAAAGCTATCTAATGATAATCTGAGCTGGTATTAGGTATAGCAGTTGGGACATCCACCAGTTTATTAGTCATTTTGTACATCATACATAAGGTGAAGAAGAAATCAGAATCTTCCAGAATTATGTACTGTTTTTCAGGAATAAGTTGATGAATAAAACATTGTCACTTAAGAGCACTTGCTTGAACTTTGTGTTAACTGTTTCTCCAGATGTACGAGTGAACAACATCAAGCACGCCATCATCTCCCAGATACAGAAGCCTCCTCCAGCCTTCGAGAACGTCATCAAAACTCACTTCTTCATCAAGAAGGAATGGCTGATGAAGGTCAGACACCGTTGTTAGATTTTTCTCCAGTGCAGTGACTTTTTATCAGATTGCACAGTTCATATCTATGAAAACAGTGCCAGTTTTGAAGAGACTGTCTTTCAAAACAAAGAATAATTATTGTAAAACATTTTTTTGTATTGACTGCCAGTCTTGTATACAAAACTTCTGACTATACGGGGACAGTGTAACACAAGAAAAGCAAAATGATTCAAAACTTCCTAGAGTGCAGGAATATGTGAACTTAACTATCTTCAAAGACGAACTAAGGTGCTCAGAATATTTAGTCAACTGAAGTGCATCAGTTACTGTAATTTGTTAGACTGGAGTCAGTCAGTCAGTCAGAAATTTTTGTCCATTTAGTCTATTGTGCTAGAAAATAACTCATCAGAAAGGATTCCTACCAAACAAATGAACTTCCAAGCTAACACCATCTTGTTCTGTCCCTGCACTTTTCAGGAGTTTGAAGACGTGTTAAAGGAAAGCCCCAAGGATAAGAAGCTGTCCCGAGCACTCCAGGATCTCAAGTCAGAGTTCAAGAAACTACAGAAGCCTCAGGTGGCATAAGATCCTGACTCCAAGGAACCAGAGAACATCTATGGGAGCCCTCCCAACCCTCATGCATTGTCTTTTCTACCTGTACCAATAGCTGACCAACAGCAGAGTGGGCATCTCTGAAAGTCATGTGAAATTCAGTATTTTTCTAAGAGGACTATACACTTTCTGCTTACCACCACATCCCTTGCTACAGATTAAAAGAAGTGCAATATTCATTATACTTTCCCTCTTGAGATATGAGCAATATATTTTGACCCCATTTCCAATAGACTTATCAGCAAAAGTGAGCGATGTTCCACATTTAGTTAACATCTCTAAGTTCCAAAAATGGCAATAGATTTGTGTTTAGTTTATTGCAACATAAGCGTGTATTGCTATGTTGCCTCTTTCGTAGTCATTTTTGTAGGCATTCCTCCTAACACACATCGAAATGTTTTTTGGCCCTTTCAGCATCTCTCCAAAAGTAAGAGCACATGTACAGTTATGTGACAGTAAATTTCAGTGCTGCAATCATACGAAATAGCCATCTTGGAAACATACCCAATTTCTCACTATAGTCACAAGTCCTTCTGCTTTCAGTGCTCTACTGGAGAAAGCTTTACAGACCAACAGATGTAATATTTTTACCAATCGTCCAGGAAAACCTGTATATGCTGGTTGAACTACAGTGGCTGCGGCATAGTGGCAGAGGCACAATAAAATTGTGAATATTTTTCAACGTGGGTTGATAAAACTGTAGTGTTGAAGATTAGTGTTGTAACGGTCATACAAGAGCTGTGAATATGACGAAGAGTATTGCTATAATAATAACTGTTCTTTTTTCAAGAAATAACTTGTTACATGTAACTGTGTTGGCATACTGTTGGTGACTTGAACCATTGTCTGAAGGTATTTGTGGAAAGCCATGGAAAGTTCTTGTTGTCAAGAAAATCAGTGTGAAAAAAAGTGACAAAAGCCAAATATTCCTTAAGGCAGTTAGAAGAGTAAATATGTAGCCTTGATGTAACAAAAGAGTATTTAAGTTTCGTTAGTCAACATTTCTAAATGTTTCCTGAAATAATCTTGCCAGACATTTTTTCATGCAGTTGGGTGCTGTTAGCCTGGTTACCAAACTCATTTCAGCTGCTGAGTCTCTTTTGCGTTTTGGACAGGACATAAGAGACTGGGAAGCTAAAATAGGTCTGGTAACCAGGCTAGGGCACTGCTGAAAAGCAGTCGTATCAACCCATATTTCATGGATGAAGGGTAGACAACCAGGTTAAGTATTACATGTAATAAAAAATGAACCAAGGAACTGGATAAATTGTCAGAAATTTCAAATAGCACCAGTCAAATTCCATCAGTGACTGAAAATGGTTGACAACGAAAGATTTTGAATGCTACTCTGAAATGTCTGACTCATCAGAGTTTATCTGTTCTATCGATTTATTTTGTATTACCATAATTTTGTCATTCCTTTATGTTGCTTATCACAGTTCCAGCTTTACACAATCTAAAAGCAATCTAACATGTAGTTTTGTACACATGCAAGAAACAAATGACAGTGCTACCTAGGCCTAACCCATCGAAAATACAAAACTGTTGAGGTTTCTGTTACAGCCAGTATGTACTGAAGAGCAAAGAAATAGAGAAAAAAAAACTACCAGCTTGTGTAATAAATGTATTCCAAGACCTCTATTAAAGGTACAGCACTTTGAGATAGCTGAAGTGAAAGGCATCCAACTTGTGTCAGATTTTTCATGGTCATTTGAACTTCCACTGTATGACAGGGTTTAGGCATCCATGCACACTAGTCTGACTAAATCATGCTTCTAGCAGCCATTTTGCTGGTTAGGCCCTACAGATAAGGACTCCATACAACTTTGGGTATAGTGAGTTAAAACTCAGATGATAAGGCGTACACCTAGCTCTACTGTAGTCTTCAACAGAATAGCAACTTCAAGTAGGGACAGTCCATGTAGTAGTCAGCTCTGTTGCCAATTTTTCTGTCCTACATTTTCTTGCCAAGGTTGGGACAGAACCATAATTGGAGCAGTAAAGTTGGATTCATCTAACACGCTACAATTTTGACAGCGCCATAAGGTGATTGCAATGGTTATTTCTACCAACGCTTATCTTTTCAGATGCTGTAAATACTACTACAGCACTTATTTTGTTGTAATGGCTTTATTTAAAGTATATGAAACTTGAGATAAATGTGATCATTTGCACATCCTACCGAAAACAAGAATGCATTCCCTTTTTTCTCCTACAAAGCCCTTTATTTATAGCTATACGTGTGAACTGGTGGAATATGAAACAAACATGACAAAATGTGCAAATATCTGGTACTCAACTTTTCATGTCCGAGAGACACTTGATCATAGCTTATCCTGCCTGTATAGATTTCTTGTTTAAGGAATCAAAATGTTCATATTTATTTTCTTTCGTCCTTGGAACACAATACATGCAATGGCAAGAAAACAAGACTACTGTTTGGTTGTATGACAGAAGTGGACTCGACATATCCACACATACACACTCTGTTATTTTGCAAGTTTATTATCAGTAGTTTCCTGAACACAGATTTTGTGTAGTAAATGCAGCTAACAGTCAACGTAAGTCACTAGTAGAGAGAAATTACAAACATTCACACTGATAGTTTAGTGTTCATCCATTGGTCAATATTATACCAGATAACAGTGAGCCATCCTAGCATCAGAAAGAATGTACTGTGCCTGTGCAAAACCCTGATTTGGGGGGGTGGGGGTCGTTGAATGTTTGGTCAACGTTGCATCAGAATTTTACTTGTTGCAGACGATATCTTTTCCAACACAACATTTGGAAACTATACACGGGATGTTAACTAAAAGTATGAGACATTCTGCTGAAGTGTTAAGCATAATACATTACAGGTTTCATGCAGGTGCAGTACGTTCTGCTGACATGCTGCCTCAGAAGTGTTGGTTGGTTTTCTACATTTCCATTCTTAAGCTTACCTTTACACACATACATTATCACTCATGATCACAGTATAATACACTAGGGTCTCAGTGGAGCCATGCCCAGTTTGGCACGGAGCGCGTTAGCCTCTTGTATTTCTAACTCTTCCCGTGACATCTCTTTCCCCTTCCCTCGATCTCGATGACTGTCCTTGTCCCTCTTCTTGTCCTTCTTCTTCTCCTTGTGATCTTTGTGGTCCTTGTGGTCTTTGTGCTTCTTGGACGACCTGAAATAAAGGAGATTTACAGATTATTTCCATGGTATAGGCACGCAGGTAGAAAGCAAAATTTATCAGTGATGACAATTTTTTACTCTTTCTCTCCAGAATAAAATGACAAATTTCTCACCTGTGTGGAGAGGCTGATCGGGAGCGATGGCGTCTGCGAGATGCTACAAAAATGAAACAACAACCAGTGAATAACATGAAAAAAATTCACCTCAAATTTTTCTTTTGTCACATAGGTAAGAATAATGTGGAAAGTCCTCTGATGAAAACATCACAACATTTACAGTTTGAGTTTGTTAAGATCCACAACTAGCATGCCAATTTACATTGTAACTTTAGCAAAGCTAGCAAAAGATAAAAGTAACAGTAGTCCCATAACCTTGTGTGTGTTGTTATCCACTGTGTCAAGCGCATGGTATTTGAAGGCTGAGCCCATCCCTCTTCCACCACCTTTTACCACGCAGGTACACATTTTACACCAAGATGAAGTGAGGATTGTCTTGTAATCTGCCTTTCCCAAAGGCAACAAGAGCAATGACATGGCAGGATTCGAACCCAGTGCCTCTGGGTTGGGAACTTGGGAGCCAAACACCCTGCCATTACACCACACAACAATTGAGTACCAAGAGATGAACCCTGTCCTACCTGGTGATCTTGACCTGTGTCTCCTGTCCCGTGACCTTGAGCGGCGTCTGTGCGGACTCCTGCTGCGGTGCCGTCGGGGAGACGGGCTTCTCCTGGGAGATCTGCTCCTTCTGCTGAACACAGGAGTAAAGACAGCTGTCGTATACATCTTCAAGGAGGTATAAAATTTCATTTCTTCATTGGTCTCTACATCATGTTTTTACAAACAACACAAAAAACAACTGCAGTTTAACTGTATGATGCTAGGGGCCAAGACTGATCATAACACGGTACCTTCTGTGCGGTGAGCGGCTTCTGCTTCGGCGGTATCGCGGTGACGGGCTGCGCCGGGGTCGGTCCAGGTCACGGTAACTGCCGCGGTGATAGTCGGGGGACGGAGACCGTCTGGATTCCTAAATACAAACATCCAGTGGAGCAACACATTAGACATACTTAGTAGGGGTCATAACAACGAGAAGTTTATCAGTGCTACGGCTTGAACTGAATTCAGTTAGTCCACAATAGTTACTTTGCATTTCAACAGCATATTCTGACAAGATTTGTCTTGTAGATGTTTCAACTTTACCAGCATACTGCCCAAATGCCATGGTCTACTGGTAAGTGCTGTTGAAGCCCTACTGCTACAGAAGAAGAAAGTTTTGTACACTGACCTTGACATCCATCTCTTCATCACTGGACTCCACATCCTCAAGGTCATCATCCAGGAGACTCACCTGTGACGGAAAACAAAGAACTTTATTTCTTCAAACTATCAGAAGTATGATGATAACTATTAATACAAATACTGGAAGGTGAAAGGCATAGAATTCATTCACACCTGATATCAAACCACACCATTTTAATAGAACTTACCCTAGGTTCAAGTGTGTTGGACTCTTCCAAGACATGTCGACCCTAGAGAATAGGAACAATGAAGAATTAGTACTGAATACTACTGATATAGTACTCCGTCTTCAACTGAACATACATTGTATGTAGAATAAATTGTAGTTGCACAAGACTTTGGTCATATTTTATTCTCTTTCCTTCTCTGCAGTTAGTTTCAACATGTGAACTTACACAGTATTTTTACTGGTACTTTACTCTGACTGAACATACATACATGTACATGTAGATGTAAAATTAATTGTTCCTACCATATTCAATTCCCTTTCTACAGCGTACCTGTATTCTGGGCAGGATGGTGTCACAGCTGCGCTCCTCTCTCAGCAGGTTATCAACAAACTCATCCACATGGGACAGGTTCAACTCTGGGGAAGATAAAGACAAAACATGTTAGGTCTACAGTTCACTGTATATAGTGATCAGTCTGTGTTGTACATCAATGCCATTCTGTCTACTTTATCTGCAATATTGATTCCTGAAGAGCCTCCAACATGCCAGGACATTGCAAAGCTACTGATGAAACTGCAATAGGCCATGGCAATTTTTTAAGCCAACCTATGGTGGCAAATGGTAACTAACTGTCTAGCAAATGGATACTGCCTGGCCAATTTGATACTTTGCAGCCACCAAAATATCTGCTTGGAGATTAATCATTGTGTTCTGCTGTACTTACTGCCCATGCTGTCCATCCACTTCACCTTCCTGTAGTCGTTCAGCAGAGGTTCCAGGTACTTAAACACGTCCAGAGACGATCCCGTCAGTCGCATGTACATCGCTCCCAGACAGCGCACATACCTGTACACACAAACATGCAAAGTTAAAATTATATCTTCAAGGATTCTGCACATTTACTGGCTTTTGTACAGTTACTTTTGCTACATTTCACAATTCATCTATAGATCTAGCAGTATTCAGCAGAATTGGTCACATTGTGAAAAATTAGGGGACTGACCTTGTGCCCTTGGGAGAGGCTTTACACGGCTTTCCTCACTTTGCTCAGGTGTTAATGAGTATGCCAGAATGATCATTATCATGATAGTGCGCATCAAAAGAAAAACCAATTGAAAGAAAAACCATATATCAGACTACCAGCAAAAACGCCCGAATCCAGAGTCTAAGACATACTTGAACTCATCGTTCTTGATGAACTCCACGATGATGTCCTTCTCAGGCTGGATCTGCAGCATCTTCAGCACCAGACAGAGGAATGGGGTGGGCTTGATGTTCCCTCCGTACACACCACCGATGTACTTCAGCTCCATAGCCTTGTCTACAAGCAGCTCCGCTGGGGTGGGCAACAATAAAAACATGAAAATACATGCATGTATTTTAGTACTAGTAATACAAAAGGTTGTGTGTAGTCTAAAATTATTATGTGAATCTATATCAAATGTTGCCCAGTGAAAATAATGTACTGTAAATAAATTATGTTGCAGTACATTGCATTTCTTACGTTATAAACCAATGCAAGATCGCTCCTATTTGGTATCTGCAGTACCTGTAAGCTTTTATTCCGCTATACACCGTATCTGCAAACCCAGATATACTAGTAACTTGTTATAATTTTAGTGCAACTGCTAGCCCCCCTCCCCCAAACACGCACATGACTTGTCTGATAATACGTCGTACAATGTAACACATTCATCCAAAAGCTTACCTGTGAGACCAAAGCATTCTTCCTTCCAATATTTAGACTCGTAGATTCTCGATCTGATGATTTTTTCCACCAAATACTGCGGATTTGTCCCCTTGACGCTGTGAGCGTCTTTCACGGTTCGGTTCGCCATGTTAGACACAGTACCCGGATGTAGAATCTGACCTGCAGTAACCTTTGGGCAAAAGATTTGTTATAGGTGGCTTCTGTTGTCATTATGCGTGCCGGTACAAATATCTCACTAAACGATTCTTTATTTGTTAAAAGTACAATTAACTAGGAGAAAGCACATCAGAAAACATACATTTTATAGTTAACTGACTTAAATTGAGTTATATGTCAGAATATTATCCAAAGATATACATCTTCACGTCAGGCACAATATTAACTGTGGATTGAACACTTTCCCGCCAAAAATCGGAGCTCTTTAAACCACCTGACCGTGTAGCCTTTGCTCTGGTCAGTGTGGCCAGGGGTTTATTGAACGAATGGAAGAATCTTCGGCTTCAGAGACGTTTTTGCAGCACCCTCTAGTCTGATATCTAATAGTACCACCCTGTACTGGGTCCGATTAGATTAGATATTGACGTTAAGCTGTCGGAAGTGGCTGTAGCGTATTCTGTTTTGTTGAGTTGCCCCCCTCCCCACTTCTTCTACTGCTTCCAGTGCAGCAGTGTAGTTTGTGACCATGCCTAGGACGTCTGCAGGCTACTTCAGCCGTGTGGAACAGAACCCGGAGTTCTCGTGGGTCGGGAAGGGGTTACAGCTGGAGAGGAGACTGAAAGATCGCCTTTACTACAGGTAAATATAATTGTAAATGAGGAGAGGGTGATTTGGTGCACAGCTATATGTATAGCGTTATACTTTATACTATGTATATTATCATGTTTGACAGTAGTATAATTTCTACTTCTTGCCTGTCAATATTTTTCTACATAGGCTAAAATAAGAATTTTTTTCCTTGTGTGATGGGAATTGAAGCTGGACCTGAAGATTACAATGACAATGCACAACCCACTGAGCTTACTGTAGAGGGCGTTAATGGGGGCCCACAAGCCCTTTTCCGTAGAGCGTAATCGGCCGTTTTAATTCTACGTAGAGCGTAGACGGACCGCTCTTTGCATTTTGCGTAGAGCGTATTCGCCGTTTTAATTCTACGTAATCCGTTGTAGCCACTTGGAATTTATCGTAAGGCCACACCAAGTAAATTTTATGGATGACGTCCGCGCGCGCATTGATTTTGGCCTGTTCCTAGAAAAAAAAAACAAGAAATCCTGCTTCCTGTAACTATGACCAAAGAGTCACGACAGTGCCGCAAATCATCAGATTGACGTGAAACCCGTAATGCGAAAACAGGACAGGACGACAACTGCTGTTCCACCTGATTTATTGCTGTTTTGATGATGAATAAAAGACTTCTTGCTTGTTACACTGTGTCACCTCATTCAATTTGTGTCCTAACATTTTTCATCTCTTAGTATATTTCTAATCTAGGCATCTTGTTTTTTAGGGCCCTTCTTGTTTTTTTTTCGCCCTCTCGCATTAGATTTAGGGTCTCCAAAGGACGTCATCCATAAAATTTACTTGGTGTGGCCTAAAGCGTAATCGAGAGGTTTCCGAATTCAGCGTTGAGCGTTGTCGGGACCCCCCCCCCCTGCAGGCCCTTGTTAATTTGAATGGTATTCCTGTGCTGCATGTCAATAAGAATTTTTCACTATTGATAATAGCCTATCAATAGCCACTTCCATAATGATATTCACGGATTTTCATAGTGAAGTATTGTCTATGTTCCAGTGGTTTCCAGCATGGTGACATTACAGTGTCAAAGGGAGACTTTGTGTACGTGGAGAATGCTGACTCTGTGGACCCAGACGACCGTTTTGTGGCCAAAGTCAAGGCCTTGTATGACACAGGTGGGGGATTGTTCAACTGTATAGCAAAATATTAGTTTCCAACAGACTCCTTTGCAGGCTGAATGAATAGCAGAAAATGGCATAAAAGAATATAGCTGGCCAAGTCCCCTGGCCAGCTACATTTTTTTAGGCCAATTTCTACTACATGTATTTATTTAGCCTGCAAAGGAGTCAGGTGGAGACTAGCAAGACATACCCGAAAAAGGTGAATGTCAGACCAGCCAATTCAGCCAAACTCCCAGGTCAACTCGGCCCAATACTGGAGACAGAAATTTAGGCACAAACACACACAGTGACTGTCTTTTTGCACTCGTTGGCACATATGGTTGGCAAATTTAAATTATCTATTTTACTCTATTACAAGTTAGGTTAATGCCAAGAACTAAGAACAAGGCCTCTTCTGACATGCTCGATCTTTCTAATTATTGCCAGTCTATAGGCGAAGTAATTGAAACTGACCCATTTATAGCCCCAGCGTGCTATAGAGAAATTGGTCAGGTGGCTAGTACTTTTCTTATGATGGTCTGGCTTCCAGGCGAGAAAAGCAATAGATTCTTCAAATGACGTGTCAAAGTTGCTCATCAGAGTATCAGACGTTTGCTTTCTCGTCTCCCTAGGAGATGATGATGATGATAGTCGCCACGTGGCTGTTGTACAATGGTACATGTGGTACAAAGAAATCCCCGCCGGCAAGAGGCGTTTGGTACAGTCCAACGACTCGCGGGAGGTCTTCGAGTACACAAACAAGCGCGTGGACACAGACATCGACGCTGAAACCATCTGTGGCCGATGCCAGGTAGGCAGCCCTAATTTAGTTCACGATACATTGTACAACAGATTAAACTATTGATCATACTGATTGATCACACTGAACTCTATGATTAAATACGTGAAACGCACTCTTAAGTATGGAGAAACAACCTTGTGGGGGACAATTGTCTAAAATAGACAAGAAACAAGCCATGCTAAAGAAATAGCCCTACACCTTCAACTTTGCATTCCCATTTCAGAAAGTGATATTGAATGTTCCTGATTTCAGATTGTGACGACCAGCCCAAATGATGACCCTGATGAGGCTATTGATGAAGAGGATACAGAACTGGATGTCTTTTTTGTCCGTTACGCCTTTAACGGGGATGTCTTCACTGCCATCATGCCTCCGGGTAGGTTTTACCCTTTACAAGGGGTTTTTCCAAAGCCCTGCTTTCCTGCTGGCATGCAGTGTTTTTATTTTAATCTTTACCATTTTAAACAAAAGTCATGCTAATCTTGTCTGTTGAGATGATGAGATTGGCCATGATTAACAAGAAGATTCCATCAAATGACAAAATGAATGACAGTAGTGAAAATATACTTTGTGGAGACTACAATTTTACAAATGTCACACATGTGGGTTGCCTTCAACAAATGTTATTTTAATATATCTCCTAGTTCCAAGAACCTGGCATTCTGTATAGAATTGTCTATACACCTGTCCATTAGTCCATTTTTTTAAAAATAAAATTGCTGTAATGTTATTCAGATGAGTTTTCAGTAACAACATTAATTTTGTTTTAGTTAGAGAATCTTCAAAGACACCAGCAAAGACTCCTCTGAAACAGCAGCCCAAAACTCCAGCCCAAACACCCTCAAGATCAACGAGGTCACGGTCAAGGGCGTCTCGAGATGACGACAACAACAACAAGTCCAGGCAGTCTGCTGGAAAGACACCAGCAAAGACTCCTGGGAAATCAAGCTCAAAGGCTTCTGGGAACACGTCCAGAACTCCTGCTAGGTCAGAGGTCAGGAAAACTGGAGGAGCTGATTTGAAAACTCCAGGAAAAACTGGACGTAACAGGGGAGAAACTCCAGCTAAGAAAGGTATCATGTTGTTCTTTAAATTATGGTGTATATAACTTTGTGTATAACTCTATCAAAGTATACAATATGTAAAAGTGACTGTTTTAGACAAATTCTTTCTTTTGTATATTATGGATGGATTTGTAACAGTGTGGTCACTTCTGGCTATGAAATCACACAGGCTTTCCAAAACATAATTGATAAGTTTCAATAATCAAGGACTTTCTTCTTTTTCAAAACAGGAGAGTTATCTTTTTTTTTACCTTGTTTGCATCTGAAGAGATTTCATTGCCTTTTACTGTTCTCCCCACAGTTCATCTGGTTTCACCAAAGAACAGGTCCTTCTCCACCACTGATGTCCTGGATATCCTGACTTCACCTGAACCAGATGTCTTCTATGATGATGATGATGATGATGATGATGATGACAGTAGCAGTGATGAGGAGGAGGAAGAGGAGGATGATGCCATGGCTATGAGGAGAGCTCTGTCACCTGGTGAGTTTAATTTAGTTAAGAATATTGAAATGTTTTTGTGGGTCCCTGCTGTGGATTAATGACTTAGATAGCAAGGCCATGAAACCATGTGATGGAAACCTTAGGTGGAAAACAAATTGTGTGTGATTTATTTTTATAATAACCCTGCCAAAATCTTCATTGTGATTACTTTTGATCAAAAGTTTTTCATGTGTTACCAGTATGCTGAATATTGACATTGACAAGTAGTTGTCTACTTTCACTGATTAATTTCATCACTGAAGATCATTCTGGTTATAGAGATATACTGGAATGTTCTGTGTACAAAGAATGAGCTCAGTTTTTTAAACTCTTCGTTAATGTTTACTTCTAGATGGTGCAACACCTTCAAGGAGCAGAAACAGACAGGCACTGAAGAAAGCTGCACGGGACAGAAGGGAAGACCTTTCTAAGGCCCCTGTCCCTGTGACAACCAAGAGAACAAGATTTAGCGTAACAAATGACAAGATAGAGAAAAACACGGAGGAAAAAAATCAGAAGATGCGCGACAAAAAACGGCTCAACTTGCTGAATGGCATCGTTCTTCTAGAACCTGTTCAAATCGCAAAACTCACTCCTCCAAGAAATGGCTTACGTCTGAGAATGGGCAGTAACCCCAAGGACGTCACAAGTAGTCTGAAGACGGTGGCTAAGGCAACTCCAAGACATGAGGCGGAGATTAAGAAAACAACAGTGACTCCAAAGCTGTTGAAGAGAGACCAGAAGGGATGGGAGGTTGTGGCTAAGACAGGTTCTGCGAGGAAGTCCACACGGCTGGCAGAGAAAAAGACACCATCAAGGACATTGAGAGCAAGGTAAGAGAAATAAGTCCAATCATTGAGATGAGATTTAGGATCTGTATAGGCTGGAAGGAAAGTTTTCTGTACCAATAAACTCTGAAAATTTATTTATTAATTTAAATAGCACTGTAGGCTGAAACAGTTGGATTTGTATTGTAATGTACATAATTTGTAACATGGCTGCATAAAAGATTGACTGTCAGTTAGATTTAACACATCCGATATCGATGATGATATAAAAATTATATAATTGTAGGTACTGTATACATTAAAATAGGAAGCAAAACACATTAAAAATACAAATATATTCTGCATTGTTGGGAATCTTGAAAGTCTATATAATTATTATAGTGTCCCTGTACAACAGTCGTGAAGTTCTGAATGATTTTGAGAGTTCTAGGGATAAATGACTGTCTGTGTCTCTTCTACAATGTAGGTTCATTGGTTTTTAGTTCATTACTGTGTGTTATCATTTGTGTGAAGGAAAAGGATCTCATTGTTTCATCTCACATCAAGTTTTGTTCCATTATGTTTCACTCTTAGGTCCAAGCAAGATCTAGAGTTAGAACATGCAGACAGTGACTCAGACGGACCCAGTAGTAGGAAGAAATCTACCAGAGGAGAATCCAGCAAGAGAAGATCCACTGTGCGATCTAGAGGTACAAAACTAGATCTAGAGTTAGAATGTGGGGACAGTGACTCAGATGAATCCAGTGTTAGAAAGAAATCCACCAGAGGAGAATCCAACAAGAGAAGATCCACTGCGCGTGGGAAAGTCCTGAAGGATCTATCTGGTGATGAAGACACTACAGACGACGATGAAGACTACAGACCCAGCCAGAAGATACCAGCTTCATCTAGGAGACATCAGCAAAACATCAGGGACGACTCAGAAAGCGACTCTAGTGAAGACAGTAGTAGTAGTGATGACGAAAAGATTCCTTCTAGAAAGTCTTCAAGGAAGTCTTTAAGCAGAGCAACGCCAGCTAAGAAAGTAGTTAAGACACCGAAGAAGACCCCTGCGAAGACTCCTTCACGACGGAAGAGTGTGCGGGTAGACGACATGATGCCAAACATTCCCAAAACTCCACGCCAAAGAAAAGAACCAATGGGGGTTCTAGAGCAAGCCAGAGCCAGGTGTGTAGTTTGTACTTACAAGGCAAGGGCATACATTACAAGTATATGTCATGATCATACCGGTAGTTTATTTGTTTATTTTGATATTTCACAAAGTGAAGGGAGGGCAAAACAGGTGCATACGCACCTTTACAATTTGCCCTCCCCCATACAAAGACACATGCAACATCAAAATTTACATACATTTTGTAGTCAATAACTAATAAGTATAAGAAAGGTACACTAGTTATGTTACCACTGGAGGGTAGTTATGTTACTATTACTATTAAGTACATGTACTACTAGTATTAATGATGTTTTGTTTTGAATTGAGTTGAGATGCTGGGAAAAAGCTCATTCTCCTTTTTTTGTAAAAGTTCTCTTCTTTTCCAAGTACACAAATTGGTTTTGTCAACTGTGACTGAATCATTGAATGATATTATTTTTATCTTTACGGCACAGTCTTGTTCAATAACAGCATTGGTTTTGAATAGATATTGATTTTACTCAGTCGTGCTAGTCACATTGTATTTGTGTGATTATCTTCCTCTTCCACATGTGCAGGCTTCATGTGAGTGCAGTTCCAGAGTCTCTGCCATGTCGAGAGTGGGAGTTTGGAAACATCTACTCCTTTGTGGAGGGCAGACTGTTAGACGGGACTGGAGGGTAGGGCTCTGTTTCTCAATCATTGCACTTCACTGAAAAACTACACTTTTTAACTATCACTTAGTCAAGAGTGACAGTATTGATTCCTGGTACTATCCTTAGGAGAAAAACGTATTCTTTTTCTTTTTTTCTTATACTGTATCTGTGAGAAATCAAAGCAAATCACATGGTATCTCAGGAAAGTGCCAGGAAGACGTGAAGATAATTTCTTTATGTTTTGAAAGTATATTACAAGTTCTTTCATCAGCCCTACTGTTGGAAGTTCCCAAGACCTTGTTTTACCACTTCCTGTATATATCCAGTTACCTCACTAATAAGCAACAGTTGAAGGTTAGACATCCAGGTCATAAGATACACCTAAAAACAGTTACTCAAGTAACTGGATTTGACTTTGGAAACAGTCAGATGTTTCAGGTAGCATCCACTACCTTTCGTCAGTGACACTAGTGACTGCAGGAGACTGTCCATTTCCAAAATCATTTCCAGTTGCTCGTTTTTTGGCATAACAGTTGTATGTCCTGTCCACAGGTGCATGTACATATCCGGGGTCCCGGGAACGGGAAAGACCGCCACGGTACACGAGGTCCTGCGCTGTCTGCAGGAGGAAGTGGACGACAGTAACCTGCCCGAGTTTCAGTTTGTGGAGATCAACGGCATGAAACTGACAGACCCTCACCAGGCCAACACACAGATACTCAAGGTCTGTCTGTTTCAGCCTCTGTTTATTCATAGGTGGGGTTGTGTGGCGTAAACGGTAGCATGTTTGGCTCAAGACCAAGAGGTCCCTATTTCGAATCCTACCCATGTCACAGATCTTGTGCCCTTGGGAAAGGCACTTTACACGACTGTCCTCACTTAACTCAGGTGGAAATGAGTCCCTAGCTTCGGTTAGGGACGTCCCTCGGATAGGACATTACATGGAGGTCCCGTGTTTGCAGGGGGAGAGCCACACCCTATGCATGTTAAAGAACCCACCACATTTATCAAAAAGAGTAGGGGACCTTCCCGGTGTGTGTGGTTCAAACCTTACAGTATGGTCTCAGGTCTGACATCTTGAAGAGGTGATAGTCACCTGCTATGTCAATCCTTACACAAATATGGTAAATTTTCATAAATAAATGATGGTAAAGTTTGACGTTGTGTGCTCCAGGCCCTGACAGGACAGAAGGCCACTCCTGAACATGCTGCTGAGATTTTAGACAAGAGGTTCAACACACCAGCTCCACGCCGAGAGTCCACTGTTCTGCTAGTGGATGAGGTACGTTTTCTCCTCAATTTTGTTGACCTTCATTTCTGTATGGGCCCACAGGTGCTTTGTTTAACCTTAAAGGCACACTGAAGTAGCTGTTTGACTACCAACTCTGTTATCAGTTATGGGATACCAACAGACAGACAGTTAAAACAATGGTATCACACCTCGCAAAAAAGGGTAAAGGGGACAAGATGAGATGCATAGAAGTGTTGTAGACTTTACATTTAGTTACAGTCTGTTGAAATGTGCATGTTATAACTCCTTCATGGGTGACTGCCTATTCTGACTTAAATGAATGACAGTGAAAACACATCTTTGTGGAACAATTACAATGTACTGGTACATGTATACTGGTCTCCAACTCCAATAATTTGACTGGCTGGAATTTTCGACAGAATCACACAGTCTTCTTCAGCTGTCTGACCCAATCGCTAACTGTCATGTATTTCTGATCTTTGCTTCTCTTCAGTTGGACCTATTGTGGACAAGGAAGCAGAGTGTGATGAATTATCTGGAATTTTAGACAAAATCACTCAATCTTCTTCAGCTGTCTGACCCTATCACTAATTGTCATGTATTTCTGATCTTTGCTCCTCTTCAGTTGGACCTATTGTGGACCAGGAAGCAGAGTGTGATGTATAACCTGTTTGACTGGCCCACCAGGCCCCAGGCCAAACTTATCGTGCTGGCCATTGCAAACACCATGGACCTGCCTGAGAGAATGATGATGAACAGGGTATCCAGTCGCCTGGTTAGTACAAGTGCCTGTGTTTTTTGTATAATACTTTTTAGGGTTCTCACCATTTTTTCATAGAGTAGGGGTCAGGTACAGAAGGACATCTTTCTGCGTTGCAAGCCTTGCATGAAGTCTCAAAGACATGACCACAGTAAGATGTCAGGTATCTCTGAAAAATGTTCAAATGCATAAGCCTCTGATCATGAGACTCTTATTGAGGGACAAATTTTGCTAATAATAGTAAGTATGTTTTCCCTCAGTGATAGCTTCATTTGTTCATCATATTTTGATTGATTAAAAGATTTATGGAGGCCTGAGGTTCTGCCCCCAAAAGAAACACCCCTATGTTGGTTGAAAGACAGTGTAGGGGGCTGAATCACACCATTATTGTCCAAATCACAGCATAGTGGGCCTCTATGCTCAAACATCCTAGTGAGAACCCTTGTGCCATTGTCTTTTTCAAAGTTAAAGCCAGTTTGTCTTAACTGCTGGACGATGTTTTTGTTTGACGTAAGTTGTGCCATGTGCCACCCTCCCCACATGCATTCACCACAGAACTGAGATGCTTACAGCATTTGGCATTAAATTATCTCGACTTGGAAACCATTTATGTCTCATTCATGTTATGAAGCGACCCGCTTTTCTTCAGTCCCCTGGGTGGTCACCTTGGGCAGGTTTGACTGTAGTGTACTCACATGCACTGCACTGAGGATGAAATTATAATGGTTTCTTCTGCTTAAGTTGCTGTTAATGGCTAACTGAGTGGGGAGGATTAGCATTTCTCAGTTTATATCGGGTGACAGTTCAAGGCTTCACACCCTCAAGGGTAGCTATCGTCTCTTCTGGGAAATAATCCTGACATAAATAACTTTATGTCAGGGACTTTATGTCATACGTGGGCCACGATTACGTTCGATACGGGCATTCCGGTCTGTGTAATAACTAGTGGTACGGCCCGGGGGTTCTTTAACGCGTACGGCCCAGCTTCCAAATGTTCCATAGAACGATTCAAATGCATTTCGCCCTAACCGCGTGCACTGCTTTCGAAAATTCAAATACAAAATTCGGACGTTGGAATTGATGTTGTTGCATTTTTTGGGTTTAGGGACACCAAATTTTCGCTCATTTTGCATTAAAAGGCGTGTTTTCTTGACATAAATAAAATACAACACGGTGTATTCCATATCACCCTCGGTCCCAGCCTCCTGTGGATGGCCTCCTGCCTTCGGCTGTTGGGCGATTCGACGCGCGGCCGGGCTGGTACCTCAGGCGATACGGAATACCCTGTGTTTATTCTATATGTATATGCGATGGAAGGATATCTCTTCAGGTACAAGACAAACTGTTAATAATAATATGTTTCTTCAAACTAACTCTAATTTTGGGAAATCGACAGAAAAAACACATTCTTTTCCTGTCAAAGATGCTACTGCACACATTGGGAATATTTGCGTAGGTTCCACAATGCCACAGAGATTAATCTGGGGGAAAGGAAGCATCACTTTCTACCTGTAATTATACCCAGAGGTGAGATTTTCAAAAGTCAGTTTTCATCCCAAAACATGACTTCTCACAACCATGTTAGCATTTAATGTCATTTCGGAACAGGTTCTGAGAAATTCGGAACAGGTTCTGAGAAATTCGGAACAGGTTCTGAGAAATTCGGAACAGGTTCTGAGAAATGTGAACTCAAATCTGGAATCTCAAAACCCTTTCATCACTTTTTACCGTGACTCCCGTCACGGAAGACTTGGGATGTGCACTGTTAATGGACTCACAATCTAGGGGATTGATTGATTGATAGCTAGATGTTGTGTCCTTGTGATGAGCACTTCACATGGCTTTCCTCGCTCCACCCAAGTGTAAATGGGTACCCAATTAGGCACACTGAGTGGGAGGTAAAATGTGGAAGGAGAGGGATGGGCTCTTCTTTCTATTGCTTTGTCAACCTATAACCAGCCCTCTGCCCTCTAGCCTCTTAAAGACTATTTGACCTTAGCCTACTTACTAATAATAGATTTGTGCATTTATCATTATGTAAAAAATAATAAAAACGTTAATCTTCAATGTCAGTTGGACAGAATGGACAAAACCTCAGGTCAAGGGCAATTTTATGATATCTTCTGGTTTCTTGATCCGTATGATGTACACATTTGGCCATTTATGATATATATAATAAGTGAAGTCGAGAATTTATTCAGTTGATTGATTTTCTGTTCAAATTAATCCGGTTGATTCATTTATTGCGTAGGTGTAACTTAGAAAATTAAGTCAGTTGATTGATTTATTTTGTATTACCTTGATGTAAGTCAGAGAATTAATCCAGTTGATTGATTGATTTTTTGTATTGTATAATGATCTACCTGGACATCTGACCTTCATCAATGTAGAGCTGCATCTCTAATATCTACAATTACAATGACAGCCCAATGTTATTAACTTCATATTAATTTCCCATGTACTCGGACACTGTTGTAATCGTTGTCTAATCGGTGCAGTTTACGTCACTCAACGCTTTATGATAACCTTTAATTTCACGGGCCAGGAACTGTTTCAGAGTGACCTATATTTCAGTTACGATTACTGCCAAACTATTCGTACCTGGGCTCTCACTAGAAATGTCAAGCAAGGTTGCGCTTCAGTTCAGTGGACGTTGAAAGGAGCAGATTTTGATGAATTGTAACCAAAATTACCTTATACTTATAGGAAATATAAACGTAACTAGAGAGGTAACATTTACCTCAGGATGGTCTCGCCCACTATTTATGCCGATGCCTTTATTGGGGAAGGATTATATTGCTGACTTTTAGCCACTGGTACTATAAAGTATGCCCATATTTGGAAAGCCCGCACCTTCCAAAGTGCTGGGGTCATTGACCTGCGGTCATCGAACATTGTTCTAAAATTTCGAAAAGTTCGAAACGGGTTCTAAAGTTTGTTTTGGGGCTTAAAATGCAACTTTTATCACCCATTTTTTCCCAATAAAATCATTTGACATATATGTCAGACAAAAAGACCAAAGTTCAGTGCCTTACGTATCGACCTACCAGCTTGCTGAGCTCTAGCCTTAGTTATGAAAATCAACGAGTGCATCATTCATCTGACAAAGGTTGATGAGTTCCACCAAAAATTCATAGTGTCTTGAGTTTCCTTTTGTGTTGAAAGTAAGCTTTAACTATAGATTCTACCTACACAGATGAGCTTTCATTTGAATATTATGAAAATATCAATGAAAATAAGAGGAAACTGAGCATAAACAATATGTTTTCCTTCGGTAAACATTTACAAAGTGGTGCTGCACTATCATTTCATTACTTCCCGTGAATCCTGACTTATGCAAAACCTTGTTGTCTACTTTGTACATGTAGCTGGTACAGACAGGCAGCAGACAAGGGGTCAGGCATGCCATTATAGTTGATGTCTCCCTATAGCAAAATGACACCAAACTCTTTATCAGGTTTCACCAGACGGTACCAAACGATGTTCTCAGTCAGATGCATCCACTGATACTCTCTCCAATTGGCTAGACATTGTCACATCTGTGTTTTTCAGAGCATCGGGAATGTGTAACTT